GAATCCATCACAAGAATTCCGTATGATGTTGACTATTTTCTCAGGCACACCATAGTGTCGAAGAAGCCTCCACAGTGTTTTCCTATCCACGCTATCAAATGCTTTCTCGTAGTCGATGAAGTTGACGTAGAGTGGTGAGTTCCATTCAATTGATTGTTCCACAATGATCCGTAATGTAGCAATTTGGTCAGTACACGATCAATCCTTACGAAATCCGGCCTGTTGATCTCGAAGTTGGGCGTCTACGAAGTCCTTCATTCTGTTTAACAATACTCTGTTGAAGACTTTGCCTGGTATTGAAAGAAGAGTGATGCCCCTGTAGTTCTCACACTTGCTGAGATTGCCTTTCTTTGGTATTTTGATCAGGTATCCTTCTTTCCTATCTGATGGTACTTGTTCTTCATCCCAAATCTTGTTGAAGAGAATGTGAAATATTTTCGCAGTTGCTTCTACATCTGATTTCATTGCTGCTGCTGGAATGTTGTCTGGTCCTACTGATTTGCCGCTCTTGATTTGTCTGATGGCCATACTGATCTCCTCAATCGTAGGTGCGCCAATATTAATTGGGAGGTCCTTGGATGCTGCTTCAATGTTGGGTGGGTTCAGTGGAGCTGGTCAATTCAATAGTTCCTTAAAGTGTTCTACCCACCTATTTCGCTGTTCGTCAGTGTTGCTGATTATTTTCCCTTCCTTACTTTTCACTGGTCGTTCTGGTTTACGATAGTTTCCGGCCAGCTTCTTTGTTGTTTCGTACAATTGTCTCATGTTTCCTTCTCTTGCAGCCTTTTCCGCCGTCATTGCTAGATCTTCCACATATTTTCGTTTGTCAGCTCTGATGCTCTTCTTCACTTCCCTGTTTGCTTCTGTGTATGCAGCTTGTGCGGTAACTTTCTCTGCTATTGTTCGGCTGACATTCACTGCTGCCTTCTTGTTCCTCCTTTCTTCAATTTTTTCAAGAGTACCAACAGAGATCCATTCCTTGTGATGTTGCTTCTTGCGACCAAGGACCTCCTGACATGTTGAAGTGATTGCTTCCTTAATCCCTTTCCAATTGTACTCCAATGTTGCTTCCTCTCCATTGAGTAGATCCTGAAAGGCCTGGAACCTATTGGTAAGGGCTATCTTGAATTCGTTGAGTTTTACGGTATCCCGAAGAAAGGCCGTATTAAACTTCTGTGATGTTGTCTGCCCCGTTGTCCAGTGCTTCTTTAGTTTCAGTTTCACTTTGGCGATCAGCAAGTGGTGGTCTGAAGCTATATCAGCTCCTCTCCTGGTTCTCACATCCTCCATGGTCCTTCTGAACTTTTTGTTGATACAGATATGGTCAATTTGGTTTTGAGTAGTGTGGTCTGGTGAAATCCATGTTGCTTTGTGAATGCGTTTGTGCGGGAATATTGTGCCACCGATGACCAGTTTGTTGAAGGCACATAGGTTTGCAAATCTCTCACCGTTTTCGTTCCTTTCTCCCAGTCCATGTCGTCCCATGATGTCTTCATATCCAGTGTTGTCCATGCCAACCTTGGCATTCAGATCTCCCATAAGAATCGTCAAATCCTTTGGTGAACATTTCTCGACGATTGACTGCAGCCTTTCGTAGAATTGATCTTTGTCGTCGTCATTGTAGTCGTTGGTAGGTGCATAACATTGGATGACGTTCATTGTAATGTCCTGTTTCTTTGTTTTGAAGGATGCTTTGATGATCCTAGGTCCATGAGATTCCCATCCTATCAGTGCCTTTTGTGCATGTTTGGAAAGCATTAATGCAACTCCTTGTGTATGTGAAGCGTTTTCCTCTTCATGACCAGAGTATAACAGCAGTTCCCCTGAAGTAAGTCTCAGTTGTCCTACCTGTGTCCAATGCGTTTCACTGATGCCAAGCTCCTCGAGGTTGTACCTTTTCATTTCTGCAGCAACTTGAAATAGTCTTCCAGTCTCCCACAATGTACGAACGTTCCATGTACCTAAAAAAATGGTTGCTCTGGTTGTCAGAAGAGGCATTGGCTCCGTGACTTCCGAGGGAACTCGGCTTTCATCACGCGACGTCATAATTCTTCCTCCAACTCCCAGGGCAGAGTTAAAATGGTTTGAATCATTTTTTCTGGTTAGCGTTTTTTTGGCAAGTGAGATTTCAACGGAATGGGGTCGCCAACCCCATGTCCAACCCTCCTCCTTTATCCGGGCTTGGGACCGTCAGTAGCATAATGCATAGTAAGGATTTAAAAACACTATCGAATGATCTATGCATCTGAGGATTAAAAGAAGTATGATGCGAAAAGTTATATGTTCGAAATAATTCTAATTCAATGAATGGTGCTTATCTTATACATCCTAGTGTATTAACCATGAGGCAAACGAATTCGCACCATTACGGCTGATCACATATGTCTACCACGTGGCAGTTATGAAACATCAAAGGAATCTAGCACAACCTTTTTCACCAATTTTGCGCTGTTAAATTATGTTGACCGCGTCCCACAGGCTTAAAGAATGTTTTAGTGGATTATTAGTTGAGCAACCAGATACGAAGTTTTCAGAAATACGTATATGTCAACATTTTGTTTGCTTTCGGCTCTTTAGATTGACGAGACGACTAATCAGTAACACTGAGGTTGCTCTTATACGCTTGCTACTTCTGTGGTTCATGTTTCCAAAACTATGCTGAGGTCGCTATTCTGTCGAGACACCTGCAACATTCTTACTCAGGCGCTTACAGTATGACTTAGAGGTTGGCATTCAATAATAATAATAATAACTAAAAACAGTTAGACAGTGAGAACTTTTAATCATCATGATTTCTTTATACAAACTCTACACTTTCAACTGAAATTTCGATTTCAACGTACATAAATCCAGCTTCTTACTTCGACTTCTCTTCTATCCACCTGACACTGCACAACTCTCCCTTCTTTTTGCTGTACTCCTTTATCTGTGCGTTATATTCTTATATTCCCATAATTTACTTTAATTTAAGTGGTCAGTATGAATTTTATCTTGACTTACTACTGTATTGACTACTTCAACATGACAGGTTAAGTAGTGCTTTGGTTATATATATACACTTGCCACACTGCTGCTTTTCCTCTCTCTCTTCTCCTTTTCAGAACCCCATTTACGGTGGGAAATCCTTGGCAACTCTAGGGAACATGCACCCAATGTACATGACTGTCTGGATCACAGCTCGTATCAAGCGCGTTCCATATGACCTTTCCCAACAAATTCACTATTGATCTCGGCCAATCGCCAATAGAACCTATTGTGCACCTTCCTCATTTGTACTCTAATATTGAAAATGTGGCTGTATAATACTGTTTCTGTCAGTGATATGGTGTAAATATGCAATCAGAAACTGACTCTTATACTTAATTTAACTGCTATAACTTTTACAGTAATTGTAAAAGCATTTGTGACAATTTGATCTAGCCTGTAAACTGGCGTGACTCTTGTAACTTAGTTTCTTGAGAATAAATTATTATTATTATTATTATTATTATTATAGCAAAACTGAAACCGCTTTACGTCACCTAATTCGACTAATAAGCACTTATTAACGCAACTTATTAGGTCGATAGCTTCATAAGACTCGCTTTTATTTCATGACCACTCGACTTGTTGGTTCAAACCTAGGTCCAACATTTCCGGTTTAGGTATCCGGGTAGTACTTCAAATATATATATATATATATATATATATATATATTTGTCTATCGTAAGATTTCGTAGACTGCTGGATATGTTGGCTTTAACATTTACCTTGAGTTTGATTTTAACTCACACTTTGTTCTACGATCTTACCGCCCACATGTTATCTTCAAAAATATTTTATCATGATACACAACTCAGTCTTAAACTAGTTAATCCTAATTTAGTAGCAATAGCATTTACAACTAATCTTTACATTTAAGGAATTCGAAGAATGAATATACTAGCATGGATCCGACGGATTTTGAGTCATATTATCTACAGCTACTTCACCAGATCACAACTGAAAAGTTTCAACCTCGTAACATGGTTTGATTAAGAAGTCGGTGACATCGTAAATTAATATCATATTTTGGACCGATCGTTTTGATGTAAATTTACCCCAACGGGCAAGGTCAATTTTACATTGGTTTTTAGACACCATATAGTTATTACCACAACAACATGAACAGCACAGCTCAATTCTCCAGAACAACGACACAGATGCCTGGCACCACGCCTGGATCCTCTCTAAAGTTACTATCGGTCCCAACACTGAACAGACGAGAAGGATTGAGAATACAGCTAGCGACCCGATCTCGCAAAACAACAAACTTCCTAAAAAACGCTAAGCATAAAACACAATTTAAACCATTTACGCTATGTCCTGGTAGTTGCACACACCTCATTTGAGACAGTTATGACGCCTCATGTTTCAAAGCCGAGACCCTTCGACAGACACAAAGTCGATGCCTCTTCTCACAAACACACCAACAATCAATATAGGCAAATGCAATATTCGCACAATATAGGAGACCGGCAGAACCATTCAAGTTGCTGCACAAATAAAATGATACAATTCGGTGGGGCTTGAAATAAGTGAAACACATTCGACACAGGCTAGACAAAAAAGATCAGCTTCATGAGAGATGCTGTTGTGTACTTCAGTCATCAAGAGGTGAATGCCTCACACAAGGAGTTGCACTGATGCTACAAAAAATCACTTATAAGATGAGAATCTCGTGAACTCAACATCGTCAATGTAGCCTTCAAGAAAAGGAAGGAGGGGATCACAATGAATGTCATTCCTTGAAACAAACCTTTTTAATTCAAATCACGGGACGCGCAAACTCACAGTCAGCTGCCTAATAACTAGAATTAGACAACCGAGCGGCTATTCCCCATTCATTGGACACTGTCAAACACTTTTTACGAACAATAGTCGAGCGCAAAGAAATCAACTGACTTATGCTAGATCGTGAGAAATATATATTGGACATTGGATAATCTTGCTAGCGGCTGCTTTGTGTTTGCGCTACTCTCATGTCCGTGTTTACGTTTATATCTCGTTCTCTCCCTCCATTAACGAACATACCTCGGGACACATCGAATTTCTGTATTAGCTACAAGGTTTGTTGATAAATAATCCTTACTGGAATGTAGCTTTTGCGTTTGTACGGTCTTATCTTCTCTGACTCCACTGGTGTATATGCATTCGGACCTGAAGTGCTGAGATCTCTACGCAAGTTGGAAAATTTGGTCGAGAATCAGATGTCGAATTTGGGAGCTCAGCGGTTGTTGCTCCCAACATTAGGTCCCAGGCATATTTGGGAAAAGTCTGGTATTTAACACATATATTGTCATAATAACCCACACAGGTCGTTGGTCAACCATGCAGAGTAGCTTATTCAAAATCAAAGACAGATTGTCACATGAGTATTGCCTACAACCAGTAATACATAATTTTATTATTTTCTGTTAGACTCATGAAGAGTGTATAACTAATTTCGTCGCCAGTCTAAATTTGTCGTATAAATCCCTCCCCATTTTATTGTATCAGGTAAGTTACATAAAAATATCTTTTTTTTCAAGATAACCAGCAAATTTCGTGATGAGCCTCATCCTAAACATGGTCTAGTAAGGGGGCGTGAGTTCTTAATGCAAGGTACAGGTACTTTACGCCATTTACTTTCAGACCTTTACACATTTGATGCTTCTGCCGAAACATCTGAGAAGACGTATGAATGTGTGAAGACCTCATATGCTGAGCTGATGAATAAACTTGAGTTGCCATATGTGGTTGGTAAGCGACTTTTTGATTAGTTCAGCAGTGTGATCGTGCAAAATCGGCAAATAGGTGTTATCTGCTAATTATTCAATCTTGAGCATCTTAAGTTAATTTTTAATAATGCTAGAGTATTCAAGGGCTCAGTAAATCTATGTTTTAGATATCGTTAATAATATTTCCACTCATTGTGTTAAAATCTAGATAATTTTGCTTACAGCACTCCCATAATTTAAGTGTTAGGCCTCATTCCGGGCTCAGAATCCTATTACCCTTAGTGCTTCCTTACAATAACTGAGAAAGTGCTACTACACCTATTAAGTGGTAGTTAATATTCCAGATTTGATAAGAAATTGTATTGCCTTTTAGCTATCATCACTAACCACAAACTCAAAAAATCTCAATAAACCGTCCAGTTACTGAATCATTTATAGTGACTATACCTCAATCATCTCCCGATGGAGTTTGATCCCGTCTCCTGCATCTAGCTAAAGCCATAGGAACTCGAACGTTGAACCCTATTTTGTGTTCAGATATGCCTTGAACGATTTAAAGTTTTTTGGTTTTATTTTCCTTATCACTAGCATTATTTTCATATCATATGTTTCTCGAAAATTTCCCCGCATCTTTCCTTTTATACTCATCATTATGTAATTATCTACACTGCGTAATGGTTTCAGTGTTATATGATTATTTTAAATCTATTTATCCATGTTTGACCTAGTATTTCCAATGTTGAACTAACGATAAAAACTTTTTTGATCGTATTTTATTCTTACTACTATCAACTTGTAGTTTTACCTATTAATGAGGTAATCTATTTCATTGTGATTATTGATTCAAATTGCCTTGATTGGTTTAATATTTTCATATAAACATAAATTAGAGTGAAGACTGATGACTATGTGATAGAAAACAATATTATTCGCTTACATGTGTTGCTCTAATGTTCAGTTACCAAAGTAACGCTGGCGAAACCATTCAGACGTAAATCACACATATTTTATCGAATAAGGCATTTTCATGGGAAAAAGTCCAGTGAGTATTATTCACCTGAACTTTTGTAATTTATCCGCTGTTCTAACGACATTCCTAATACTGATCTCATGAGACTGAACTAAACCGAAAAACATCTCAGAGACATGAATCCCGAATATGAATGTGCAATTATATTAGGCAGGAATATAACCTGCCTTCTTGTCGATTGTTATAAGCGTTCAATTTGGTTGATCGAATGGAAAGTGTCTGAAAATTAGGGGCTTTCAAGAGCGGAGCAAAAACTCAAAAACCTTTCATAAAAAGGTCGTGCGTTACCGGCCCCAAGCAGTTGTCCCTCGGACTCTGCGGTCAAGCTCCCAGACATCTAAGACCGACACTAATCTACCTTCCTTTTCAGGTTCCACAAGAAACACCCTTCCACGGTGTGGGCAGCCGGGAAGTGACAACCGCTCTCATACACGTAACAGCACAAAAGACCGCATTGGTCAAAATCAAATTCTTCCTACACCCCCTAGTACCTCTCTTATCTCCACGACTAACTCTTCTCACATTCCTTTATCACACTGCACAGCTAATGCAAACGAAGCGAGTTCACGAAACGTTATTCCTGGTCTCCTGAAACCCCGTTCTAGACTAAATGTTGGAGCATTTAATGTACGGACATGGTGTCAAGTAGGGAAACAGGCTTCCTTAGCTAGGACTTTAGAATCTCGTGCAATCGATGTGTGCTGCTTCTCGGAAACGCGCATACAGGGTCCTAATAAAATCATTAATTTAATTTCACCTTGTCGAAATAAAGAAGCAACTCGATAGTCGCTTGTGCGCGGGATAGTAAGGATTCCGAAAGATAGGGAAACTCGCCGTTGTCGCTTCGTTGTCTCCGCCTACGCTCCCACTGACTGCAGTTCAGACGAGGTTAAAGATGAGTTTTACAGAAAGCTTTCCGACCTCCTTCAAAAAGTTAAGCACTCTGATATTGTTCTAATGGCTGGTGATTTCAATGCTCAAGTAGGTAGACTAAATGAGAATGAAAGACACCTGGGTGGATGTTATGATGTCGCGGCTCAGAGAACAGACAATGGCGACCGTCTGTTGCTATTGTGCTCAGATAACCAACTATTTCTAGCAAACACTAACTTTAAGCATAAGGAGAAGCATCTGTTGACCTGGCGACCCCCAAAGTCGTCTCAACGCTTGACCCGACTAGAACACATCGCCATCATCCACCGATGGAGGCGTTCGATAAAAGACTGACTGTCTCTCGTTCTGGGTCACATGTCTAGATTCAGATCATGCTCTAATGCGAGCGCGTATTTGTTTGCGGCTTAATGGATGTAGGAAAGACACTGTAAGTAAACGTCTTAGGGTTCTACTTGATGATTGCAGTGCTAAGAATATATTTCAGGAGCAACTAGTAAGACAGTAAGGCGACCATGTTAGTGATTCCCATCTGGAGACAGCTTGGGAACGATATCAAAAGGGCCGTGGAAACAACAGTGATATCGGTTAGCAAGGTACACCATAAGGCCAGGAAGAAGGCGTGGATCTCAGTAGCATCCATCGAACTGATAGGCACTCGTAATCTCATCCCACGTAGCTGTGAACATGATGAAGAGTGAAGTCAGCTTAAGCACAGGCTGATAAGAAGCCCTACGCAATGATCGCGAACAGTGGTGGGTGTAGAAGCGAGAGCGATGCAAAAGGCAGCGGTGATAAGCAACAGCAGACAGTTGTTCTGAACCGGTATTAGGAATCCGAATGTGAGTGAGACTATCTCGAAAAAGGATGGGACTACTATTCATTCTAAATCCACGAGATTGGATCGTTCGGCAGGGCACTTCAGGGATCATTTCAACTGGTCTTTAGCCACACTTTGATTACCACAATCTCCAGTCATCCTAAATGGCAAGTCGACATAAGCCCTCCGAATTTTTATGAAGTTGAAAAAGCTATAGGAAACCTGTAGCGAGGGAAAGCAGCAAGGCCTGATAGGTTTACCCCTGAGATATTTAAGGATAGTGGTCCAGTTTTAACAGTTAGGTTGACTGAGATCTTAGGTAGAATATGGGAACTGGGCGTAATCCCATCTGAATGATCTCAATCACTGATTGTCCCAATTTATAAGAAAGGACAAAAGTCCTTTTGTGACAATCACAGAGGAATAATTTTAAGTAATAAAGTATCTAAAATGTTGGCCGCAATAATCTTCCGACGTCTAACTAGAGCTCGTAAAGAGCAGACTACAGAATACCAGGCTGGTTTTTTACATGGACTTGGATGTATAGACCATATCTTCACACTGCGTTAGGTCCTAGAACATAGACACACATTTCGTCGCCCCACATTGGTAGTATTTCTCGACCTTAAAGCGGCATTTGAATCTGTCGATCGCGAGGTTCTGTGGCAGTGTGTCATTAAGAGGTGTACCAAAGAATTACATTAACCTTATACAAGCTCTCTACTCGAACACCACTGGTTGAGTGAGAGCTTATGGCGAACTGTCATCGGGATTCTTTACTTCAAGTGGTGTTCGTCAGGGCTGTCCACTCCCTCCATTCTGTTGACTTTGTCATAGACTTACTTTTAGAGTTAACATTATTTTCGTTTGACTTTTCAGGGGTGGATCTTCTACCAGGAGACACGCTTGTTGACCTAGAATATGCCGATGACATAGTTCTATTTGCTGAAGACGCCGAAAAAGTGCAGTCTTCTGACTATCCTAAGCAACAATGCAAGCATGTTTGGGATGGGGTTCTCACTCTCAAAATGCGAAATGTTGCTTCAGGGAGTTAAGTGACTGAGCGTGTCGACCGCTTCACTTATCTTGGGAGTGTTGTCGGTGCTGATGGCCTGGTGACTGACGAAAACTGCACGGGTACAGAAGGCTCGATTGGCTTCTGCCAAGTTGCGTCACCTATGACGCAGGAGAGATATCCGCTTGCTAACCAAAGGATGAGCTTACTGCTCAGCAGTTCGCTGTCCTACTATATGGATGCGAAACATGGCCGGTAAGAGTAGAAAATATTCTTAGGTTACTGGTTTTCGATCGTAGCAGTCTTCGTACATTCTGGACAACCGAGTAAGCAATGCTGTCGTTAGGAAACGAGTATTAGGTAAGGATGGCAAATCAATAGATGAAGTAGTTAAACTTCATCATCATGGCCGAAATCCATGAAAACACTGACAAGCGGACTGAATCATGTTGATTGATGTAAGCTACTTGTTTGGGGTCCGCGAGAAGTAAGTCACCAATGGTTGGAGACTTTTAACGTCAGGACTCAAAATCGTTTGCAATGGCGCAGGTACATCCACTCTTTGTGTTCTCTCAAATTCTAACCTGAATTTCTCATCATCTCTGTCTTTCTCTTTCTAACTTTATCACTGATCTATACTTCTCGAATCATATCTTCCAACCGTAATCTTCTCCATTACTGCCAATAGTTCTACTATCGCTACCACTAACTGATTTGAACTGACAGTTGCATTTCTGTGCTAATGCGGTATGGCAATCTGAACTGATGTACATACGTACGAATTTCTGTGTTATATCTGTCTCTGTCTAAGCATAATCACTAGTCGTCAAAATGTGTTATGTATACCTCTAAAGGTAAAAGAAAAGATGTGAATAATTAGAGTCTGGTCTTATAAATATTCTTACACGAATGTAGGACAGAGGTAAATGTCTCGTGGGTAATTGCAAGTACTATATACCATCCACATATTCGCCAAAGCTTCGTTTATTCTAGTTTCTGTAGAATGATATATCTTAGTCTCTTCTTGCTTTCCGCTCTAATTTCTCAGTTCCATTGTTTAGCTCACAGATAACCAATGAATCATGTATTTATATTCGATGAATTTACTTCTTTGACATGCTCAAACCGGATTGCCGAGTGATACGTTGGATTTGCTTAAGGTTCAATCGCTGAGATTCACAAATTTAATTTTCTTCCTTAATGTTCCGCATTAAGTCAGTTCACAATTACCTTGAAACTATTTCAAATCTAGACGAAAATTCTTATAAACCCGTATGTTATATTTCACCATCTTTTGTATTCATTTTTTCGATTCAAGCTTGTGCAGATCCAGGCCATGTTGGAGGTCTCATTTCCGAAGAATTCCATGTCCCAGCTGTTGTAGGAGAAGATACGATATTAATGTGCTCAGAGTGAGTTGTGTTATCAATTTTTGCATCATTTCAATTAACATATTTCATCACAAATCCTATATATTGCAGCAGTGTTGATATTTACTTAAAATAAACACACTTTTCGGTAATAAATATACTGTGCTAAATGTATCGAATGTGATAGAGCAAACACAGGTAACTATTTTAAGGACTACCATTACCTGTATTTTAACTGTACAATTATTAAAATACTAGCTATAACCGGAATGATATACATGGGATACATAAACACGATCAGGACTCTTTTCGCCGAGTCGCGTCTCTCTAAGAGCAACCTGCAGTTAAAACAGGATACCAAAAGTGCATTAATCATTTTTGTCTCACTAGACATTAGAAAACTTAAACTTCGACTTATATTATTACATATATATTTTTCGTAAGTCAATTTTACAAACCTGTCTTTTCAAAATAAAATCAAAAGCAAAAAATTCACATTTGGAGCAAAATAATCGATAGTTTCAAGTAAACGAAAATTGCCACGGTTTATTATATCTACTAAATAAACTTACTTTTTGCGTCCATCAAAATAATTTTAAGTACCACTTACAGTCCCCGAAACAAATGTTATCAATGGATGGCTACTAAGAGATGGAAGCTTTATTGTCCATCCTCCTTTCTAATTCAGTTCACTTAATGTAAGCGATGGTTTCTTGTTCAACTTTGTCATTGACATGCTTTTAGAGACGACACTTTCATCATCTGACTTTTCGGTTGACCTACCAGGAGATTCGCTTGTAGACTTAAAACATGCCGATGACATAGTTGTACTCGGCGAAGACGCTGACAAAATGAAGTCTTCTGACCGCCCTGAGCAACAATACAAGCATGTTCGAGATGCGGTTTTCCCCCTCGAAATGCAAAATTTTGCTTCAGGAATGGGTTGCACCTGAACTAGTGATAGGGAGTGAAGTAGTCGAGCACGTCGACCGCTTCACTTATCTGGGAAGTCTCATCAGTGCTGATGGCCTGGTGACTGACGAAATGTCAGCGCGGATACAGAGGGCTCAATTGGCTTTCTCGAACTCGCGTCACGGCATCGGCGAGATATCCGTTTGCTAACCAAAGGACGAGCTTACTGCGCATCAGTTCTTCTCTCCATCCTACTATACGAATGTGAAACATGGTCATTAAGAAGGGAGGATATTTGTACGTTACTAGTGTCCGATCATCGGGGTCTCCGAAGCATTGCTCGAATATCCTGGGACAGTCGAGTGAGCAATGATGGTTATAGGAAAGCGGGTATTGGGTTAGGATGACAAATCAATTGGTGAAGTAGTGAATGTTCACCAGTTGAGGTAGTTTGGACATGTTCTGAGTTTATTCAACAGCCGACTATCTCAATTATTGTATATTCACGAAACTAATGGAATGCTAGATATGCTTTTCAAAGAAAAACAATCAAAAAATATTTGATTTTGAACGCAGATGTCTAAATTATGCTACTCTGAAATGTACTTACTTTTTTACGCCTGTTACCCCCCAATGGAGCATAGGCCGCCCACCAGTTTTCTCCAACCAACTCCGTCCTGGGCTTCCCTCTCCAGTTCTGTCCAATGTTTGTTCATTCCTCTCATATCTTTCTCTATTTCTCGGCGTAGTGTGTTCTTTGGCCTTCCTCTTTTCCTTTTGCCTTGAGGGTTCCATGTGAGGGCCTGTTTCGTGACGCAGTTAGGTGCTTTCCGCAATGTGTGTCCTATCCACTTCCATCGCTTCTTCCTGATTTCCTCCTCCACTGGAATCTGGTTTGTTCTCTCCCACAGTACGTTGTTGCTGATCGTGTCTGGCCAACGAATCCGAAGTATTTTGCGTAGACAACTGTTAATGAATACTTGTATCTTCTGGATGATGCCTTTCGTAGTTCTCCAAGTTTCCGCTCCATAAAGTAGAACTGTCTTGACATTTGTATTGAGAATCCTGATTTTGGTTTTGGTTGAAAGTTGTTTGAAGTTGCAGATATTTTTCAACTGTAGAAATGTACTCCTTGCTTTGCCGATCCGCGTTCTCACATCTGCATCGGATCCACCCTGGTTGTCGATGATGATGCCAAGATATGTAAAGGTGTTAACGTTAGTATTTGCGAGAAATAAGCGGTTAACTGAGCATAACTGCATCAGGCGATCGCAATATCTGATCTTTGAGCCACGAAACTATAAGATCCACCCAGATGTCTTTCCTTTGCTCTTAGTCTACCTACTTGAGCACTAAAGTCACCGGCCACTATTACTACGTCAGAACGCTTAGAGCTTTCAGAATGAGGTGAGAATGTTGTAGGATGTGATTTGTCCTACAGATGAACTTCTAGAATTATAAACGCAATATTGGCGAGCACAGAGTCTATGGGAAAGCTATAGTTAGAAGATCAACTTTGCCTTAAACTTTAGCTGTTTCTAAACATAAAAACAAATACATTAACACAATAAATAAGGAAATTACAATTATCAAGTAAAACCAGCAAACGTACCGACCAACATAGCGTGTCTTATGGAAATGAGTACAGTTATGATTCACATCAATATAATAAGATAATAATGTCAATCAATTTGTAGGTCATTTACAAAGAGAAGGTTTAAAGACACGCCAGGTCAGATCACGTGATGGGCGCTTAAACCACAACCTGATTGGTTAGTTATGGCGTTACTACAATTAGTTATAAAATAACTAACAAATGACTTCCTCGAAGTCCATCCTTAATCTCATCCGAGATGAAGTCAGTGGGAGTGTAGACAGAGACGACAAAAGGGCTACGGCGAGTGTCACTATCTTCCAGATTACTCACTTATCCGTTCAGCCGGACAGCGCACAAGCGACTGTTTACTGGGATCCAGTCTAAGAGAGACAGTTCTGCTCTAAGACTCAGTGCCATACCTACACCAACCAGCAGACCACGGGAAGAAGCAGCAGGGCTTCCAGATACACGAAGCGTGGACCGCGTTGGTTCTTGATCTGGACAAGGTGAAGTCAAATTAGTGATTCTACCCGAATCCTGTACGCACGTTTTGGAGACGAAGCATAAATCGATGGCGCGAGATTCTAACCCGTAGCTGAGCAAGGGTGTTCGACTTGGTAAGAGGATCGGACGTTAAAAGCTCCAATATGTAGTTTACACCGGGGTTTCAAGAGACCAGTAATAACGTTCCGTGAGCTCTAATTGTTTAATTCAGCGGCGCGAGGTGACAAATGCATTAGTGATGGGTTAGTAGTGGTGCTAACAGAATTTCCAAGAGTTTTGTGACGAATCCGATTGTGACCGACTTGTTCTCATGCGCTTTTTACGGGTATGAGGGCGGATGTCGTTTCCTGCTGCCCAAAGCACTTATTAAGGAACCTGAAAAGTCATATTAGTGTTGCTTTTAGTGACCTAGGAGCGTGACCGTAGAGCTCAAGGGACAACTGCTATAGGCTGTTCTAGCACGGATGGGATGCTTTGGAAGTGTTACATCCGCTCTTCAAATGGCCTTACTGCTGGCGATGAAAATTCTTGCGGTTAGGTGTTTTTTAGGGTCGATCTTTTCCTTCATTGTGAGAAGTCAATATCGCTGTAGATGACGGTTGTCCGAGTGAAATACCTTACTGCTGCCACACCCCGCTACATTCAGCAGTTTGAATTCGCCCTCAAACTTTATATGACCCGTTAGACATACGGAAATACCTTATTCCACGAAGGCTTTTGTTACGTCATTGATGGTAAGATATTTATTTATTTCAATGGTTCATTGTTCCTTGTCTAGAAACTATAGTAGGTTATCTAAAGTCTCATGTATCTACTTTACGAATACTTAATGAAACAGTTAAATATACTGAAAAAATACATATGGCTTGTATAAATCTCAAATTTTAGAATCCGTTACTTTTTAAAATATGTTCTACTTTATTCGTATTCACTTCAGATGCTCTTTGAAATTCAATTCCGAACTTGAAGGTACTCATCATTCTGAATGCAATTAATTACAGGTGAAAATATCAGATCCCGGTGTTCCTTACAATCTTGCCCGAAATTATTCCATGAAGTTCAAGGTGTAGAAGTAAGTAACCCGAAATTACCAACATAATGAAACAAATTTTTGTATTTCTAGAGCGCTCTTACAATTATATTTAACATAAACTAAGAATCATTGAGTAATTCTGTTTGTGCAATCATATGAATTTAAAAAGGTCGTTAAGTCAGTGACTGCTGATCTGATACTATGCGCCAATACTTAAGCATACACTTTAGTTTCTAGTACATTACCACCAAACTACTTTGAACCCAAAGTACGTTTATAATGCAACAGTGACGTAGAACTAGTGTGATCAATTATGTAAGTTCATTTGTTTAAGTAATATTGATCTGAAACTGAATTATTAATGAACAATTTTACGACGAACAGCTATCATAAAAAACAACTCGCCAGTAAATTTATGTCGAAAACACAATTGATCCTAAATTACTACTACCAACGAAACTAGGATCTGTCATATCACTTTAATCTATATTTGAGTGGCACCAATCATGTAACGCTTAAAAGCTATTGCAGCTTATCATGTGACATTCTATCATTACCTGGTACGGTCATTTTATACCATTATAATGGTTCAGTCAAAATGATAAAAAGATACCTAGTGACGTGGCAGGAAATATCCCTTATTCATTACTTGCGAGACAATTTTGAGATTACAGATTATTTTGGTATCACGATGTACTTATATGTGACTGTACTATGTGAATGGTTCCATGTTTATCTTATTTCAAGGTCGCGCACTGCTTTTTATTGGGTGAACGATATTCAAAGTGCTTTGACGCCACTTATCGATCCATTACAGGCTCAAAGTAAGTTACTGAAATCGACCATAAACAACTACGCTTTCTCCATCATTCTTTTAGTGTTTGGAAGTGCTATGTATTTATGTCCTGAAGAATAAATCGTCTCACTATTTCCGATATCTTATATTTCCTAGGTTTTTTTTCATGGGTTGCTATGGTCTTGGGATGTCACGTTTACTTGCCGTCTGCATCGAACATCTGACAAGAGTTTCATTTCCTGACAAGTCTAAAGATCAGATCACACAGCTCCGATGGCCTGTACGAATCGCACCATATAGCGGAGCGGTTGTTCTCCAAAAGGTATATCTTTTTTCATTTGGTTTGTATTCTGATTACTCTTCTAGAAGTAGATGTAGAAATGTCATGTCTAGGAAACAGCAACAAACTATATTTCAGACACACTAATTATTTTTTTTTCATTTACCTAAAGGAAGGAGCCAAAGATAGTCTGAACTCCGATGAACTGAAATCTATCCTCGACACCATTCAAAGTGATCCCATCAACTTCAAAATACCTGGTGACATTTTGGTAGATGACCGCAAAGAATTAAGCTTGGGTAGGAAAATTTTGGACCTAAGCCGCTTGGGAGTACCCTGGATACTTATTGGCAAGGTACCTGCAAAATCGTATCTTTGATTATAACACTTACCACATTACTGGCACTACAGCATGTGATGACTTTAATTGTTAATTCTTGTTCTCTAGGCTGAGTGGTTCTGTCGGGAAGCCGTCAACGTCTTCCCGGATATTATCATAAGCAGAAATTTTAGGTAAGAGTGAGGTATTCGAATTTATCTACAAGTAACTGATGGCTTGTTCTGTCGGCCTAAATTGTAACTGTCACACACGCATGAACCAGTACGTCCTCTAACCAACTTTTTGAGTGTGTTTAAAATGGAGATTACGAAATAGAAGTGGAAGTTGAAAAATATACTGTTACTAAATTAGTTCCTGAACGTTAAGTTCGAGTGACTATATTCCTCCTACAAGACTACCTGCATGCTACAACTTTTCCGCCTTATAACGGAAACCGGTATTAGGAACCCGAATGTGAGTGAGACTATTTCGGAAAAGGATGGTCTTATTATCCATTCTCAATCCAGGAGACTGGACCGATGGGAAGAACACTTTAGGGATCAGTTCAACTGGTCTTCAGCAACACTTCGGTTGCCCACGATCCTCAGTCCTCCTGAATGGCAAATCGACTTAAGTCCTCCTACTCTCTATGAAGTTGGGAAAGCGTTAGGAAATCTGAAGCGAGGGCGAGCTGCAGGTCCTGATAGACTGACCCCTGAGATATTTAAGGGTGGTGGTCCAGTTTTAGCAGCTAGGTTGACCGAGATCTTAGGTAGAATCTGGGAACTGGACATAATCCTATCCGAGTGGTCTCAATCACTGATTGTCCCAATCTACAAGAAAAGACAACCACAGGGGTATAAGTTTAACTAATACAGTTTCTAAATTGTGAGCCTCCATCATACTTAGACGTCTAACTAGAACTCGTTTAGAGCAGACTTGAGAAAACCAGGCTGGTTTTCCACCTGGACGTGGTCGTTCTCCTATATTTTCTACTAATCAGCCCTTTTAAAATCGACCCTTGCTTATACCATCAAATATCTTTTATGTCTTCCAAGAGTATTTTTCAGTAAAACATAATAAATGTGAACTATAAAAGAGACTTGGTTGTTTGATTACTGAGTGGAATCATTTCCAAGTTATTGAATTCTACCTTCCAAATTTTTAGAGTCAAGCAAATGGTACATATGAATTGATAGATGTTTATAAAGACAGATCATGTGTAGCGACACTAGAACAAGTCAAATCTGTACTAAGTAATCCTGCAGAATTTGATGCATCATGCCTCCCTTCTTGGAATTACCAACGAAATTATACGTGTAATGTAAAAGAAGAAAACAAATTCATTTAAATTGTTTAGCAAAACATGTAATTCAAAGTTAAAACTGTAATATAATCAGAAACTGAATAGATATGTACAATAAAATATTTTTCAATTATTGATTACTTTTTTCTTGCCCATACTTTATGCCACGACGGCTTGCTAGCAGAATTTTCCTCTTTTAGTACCTTATTTCTCTGAACACTGGAATTCGGCGGATAAGGTTCTACAAACCGACCGACCTTATTCTTCAGATCTTGTGGAATTCCATGCTTTGAACGCTTGTGCAGCTTTTTTGAAACCCACTTACCATACTTCAACCTCGTTCCATCAGCAATCATAGGAAGTGAACTATGTGATGTTGACGAAGTTGACGTATCTTTGGAAGATGAGCACGATAAATCATCTTTGCACGAGAGTTTAAGTGGCACTGTAGCAATCTCATAGGCACTACAGCTCCGAGAAATATTGACCATGTTCAACGTACACGCAGGAGTTTCATATGTATATGGTAACGTCAGTGAGACCGTCTGGAAATAAATTATGTACAATGTAAATAGCATTTCGAAATTTTTTAGAAGTGTTAGACAATAAATGACGGGGCCCCTAATAGTAGGTAGTCAAGTTTACATTAGATGATCGGCAGCAAAATTGCAATTTATCCAACTTGCCAGTTACACTCTAATTTATTGGAGCTATTGATACCTTTCGCATAGGTAAAACCTATTTTAAATTGGCTGTTTGAGAATTATAATTCAAAGTAAAAATATCCGAGGCAAATTCATCAAAACATGATTGCTGAATATTAAAAAACATCAGTTACAACAGTTTCAAAAATAAATTATTTATGTTGTCCTAGGTGGAACGAAGCCAAGTAAAAAACTGCACGAGATTCGTATTTTGTCTTTAATTCAAGAAAAAGTCTACATAAGTGCTAGTGGTCTTCACATAACTCCAATAAAATAGCCTTTAACATTTCGTTGTACCCTTAACGAATTTTTGTATACAACATACATCACTAATTTTATGCTACATAAACACTACCAGTTCACCTACCGTACACCCAAGTTTATTTGAAAATTCAGTTTGACGCCAAAGAGATGATATAACTAAAACCTCCGAACGTTCAACCGTCATTTAATCTGGTAGCAGTTTTCAAGTCTCGAAAACGTTAATCAATAATAGATCTGAATAAATTAAATTTAAAATGCTTCGTATGTTACAAGAATCAAAAATACAGTGAGAATATAGTACGTGAATAAATGGATTTCGATAGTCTTATCTAACAGACATGCTCAAACATTGTGCGCACTAGAACACATGCCAATATTTAAACAGCCTAGTTAGTAACAGGAAATCTATAACTAAATAGATAAATTTTTTTAAGATTTACTATAAATAAGTAGGCTAGACGTACTTCTGAACCAGGTTGCTTTTCAACTTCTGTCGATTTGTCTGTAACAGGCGTATTCAGCTCTGTTTCAGCTGAAATTGAAGTAATTATGGCACATCATGATCAATAAATTAACTTTAAACACTCAAAAATATTCCCATACAAACAGCAAATAAATTAGTTAGCCTGGTTTAGTAGGTTCACGTAAACTCTGTATTCCCAGACATTTATTTTCTTTTATTTAAACATAAACAAACGGACGACTAAATATTCATGCGTCACATAAATTATTGAATTTGTGATTAGCCTCGAATACTATCCGAACGCCTAAGCACAAGCAGGTGTTTGTTATATGGGGTCACACCCCGACCCTCTGACCCAAAGGTCGAATTCATTAAACAATGAAGCAATATTAGAAGGCAAATTTTTATGTAAGCTGGGGAGCAACAATAGCATCGTACATCATTTGATCTTTCATAATCCTGGACACGAGTAGATATTACAAACGGCCAGAGTACTGGCTATTATAGATGATTGACGTCAGTCATTTACAATGCAGAACTTCGTACGTACGTACATCAGTTCAAGCTGACATACCACATTAGCACAAAGACGCAATTCTCAATTCAAATTCCATGGTAGTGAAGGTAGTAGAAGTATTCACAGTAATTTAAGAAATTAAGGTTCAAAGATATTATTCAAGAAGTAGTATCTGGTAGAATAAACTAAGAAAACCTTAAGGTGATGAGGAACTCCGAAGGTAAGATTTGAAGAACCACAAAGAATGGATGCACCTGCGCCATTGCAAACGGTCTTGAGCCATGTCATTTCAAGTCTCTAACCAGCGGTTACTATCATCTCTCGAACCCCAAACAGGTTTTCTGAAACTACCACCACTCAGTCCGGTTATCAGTGACTTCATGGATTTGCGCCATCATTTGGTTTGGCCACCCCTAGCTCTCTTCCAGCCCACACTTAAAAGGTCAACATTACTCGAAGAGGCAGTGTGTAGCTGGGAATTTGTAACACATATCCCAACCTCCTCAAATGATGATTCAATACTTCGTTATTTGATTTTCTATCCCTACCTAGTACTCGTTTACTAACATTAGCACTGCCTACAGAATCACGCAATACTTCGAAGACACCTGTGGTCGAATACTAGTAACCTACGGATATTATCTTACTGGCAATGTTTCAAGGCCAAAAAGTAAGACGGAGAGAACTGACAAGAAGCCCGTCGTTTGCTTGATATCTTGCCGACGCCATGAGTGACGCAACTTGGCAGAAGCCAATCGAGCCTTCCGTACCCGTGCAGTTTTCGTCAGTCACCAGGCCATCAGCACCGACAACACTCCCAAGACAAGTGAAGCGGTCGACACGCTCAGTCACTTAACTCCCTGAAGCAACATTTCGCATTTTGAGAGTGAGAACCCCATCCCAAACATGCTTGCATTGTTGCTTAGGATAGTCAGAAGACTGCACTTTTTCGGCGTCTTCACCAAGTGGGACTTTGTCATCGGCATATTCTAGGTCAACAAGCATGTCTCTTGGTAGAAGATCCACCCCTGAAAAGTCAAACGAAAATAATGTTAACTCTAAAAGTAAGTCTATGACAAAGTTAAACAAGAATGGAGGGAGTGGACAACCCTGACGAACACCACTTGAAGTAAAGAATCCCGATGACAGTTCGCCATAAGCTCTCACTCAACCAGTGGTGTTCGAGTAGAGAGCTTGTATAAGGTTAATGTAATTCTTTGGTACACCTCTTAATGACACACTGCCACAGAACCTCGCGATCGACAGATTCAAATGCCGCTTTAAGGTCGAGAAATACTACCAATGTGGGGCGACGAAATGTGTGTCTATGTTCTAGGACCTAACGCAGTGTGAAGATATGGTCTATACATCCAAGTCCATGTAAAAAACCAGCCTGGTATTCTGTAGTCTGCTCTTTACGAGCTCTAGTTAGACGTCGGAAGATTATTGCGGCCAACATTTTAGATACTTTATTACTCCTCTGTGATTGTCACAAAAGGACTTTTGTCCTTTCTTATAAATTGGGACAATCAGTGATTGAGATCATTCAGATGGGATTACGCCCAGTTCCCAGATTCTACCTAAGATCTCAGTCAACCTAACTGTTAAAACTGGACTACTATCCTTAAATATCTCAGGGGTAAACCTATCAGGCCTTGCTGCTTTCCCTCGCTACAGGTTTCCTACAGCTTTTTCAACATCATAAGGACTCAGTGCTTTGGAGACCAGAAATAATGTTCCGTGAGCTCTAATTGTTTAATTCAGCGGCGCGAGGTGAGAAATGCATTAGTGATGGGTTAGTAATGATGCTAACAGAATTTCCAAGAGTTTTGTGACGAATCCGATTTTGACCGATTTGGTCTCATGCGCTTTTTACGGGTATGAGGGCGGTTGTCACATTCCGGCTGGGTAAACCGCGGAATGGCTCTGGTTGTCAGAAGCGGCATCGTTGTTGTGACTTCGAAGGAACTCGGCCTTCATCATGAGACGTCATGGCCCTGCTAAATGAAGACCTAACTCGCAGAGCAGAGTTGAAATGTTTTGAATTATTTTTTCTTGTTAGCGTTTTTTAGCGAGTTAGTTTTCTACATATTGGTGAAGCAACCCTAACTCTCATCGTTCATCCGGGCTTGGGACCGGCAGTAGCTTTGGAGTGGTTCCAGGCGGTTTGAATAATATATCGGCAGAACCTAAAATTAGTCTTCTATATATAAAGATGTTATTCGTGTGGTGGACTTTGAGCCACACCCGGAAGTAAGAGTAAGTGGTTATATTTGGTTACCCAAATCCAAATAAATGATATAATTCGAGCAGAAGGCCGATCATTAACTGTTGAGCCATTGCTTTACTGTAGGTGCCAGCAATTTTAAATGCTAAATATTGATACTCTGAACGGTTATTTCTATCACGTAGATTTATTTCATAACTTTTTACAATGTAATTTTAAAATATCCTAAATCAGAGTGTCTTGTGTACTTAAACATTGTTCGATTAGTGAATATAAAGCACTAGGAAACATATTAGAAACAAACCTGAATGGTTTTCATATTCTTTCCTTGATAGAGCTGAATAAAGTTTGTCTGTCATTTGATACGTGATTGACTTTAGCTCCTTTGCTTCATCTCCGTCAGGTGCAATAATCAGGCGACCAAAGCGACATCTATGAAATGGTATAGTCGTACCAGACAACACTTTGTGACTTTTCTTCTGTAATCCACCAGGACTAACTGGAGCAGTAGTAGACGAATAAGGAGGCCATTCTAAAATTAATGACAAAAAACTAATGACAGCTGAAAAAGTATACTCAAAATAGATTATATTGACGCTTGTGCCTTTATAGACAAGCAGAAATATGATGTTACAGATGTAATTCACTAATTTCCTAAAAACTTCTTAAGATCTACCTAGAACAGTTTTGTTTGGAAATTCTATTTACAGTTTTCCCTATAGGATTCATTTCACTCGATAAGGCATAGATTAATTCACAACTGACGTGAAGCAACTCTACATTTTTAAATACGAAAATTCAAACAGATTATTTCAGTTTCTACGAGCTCGTATTTTCTCGCTGTTTGATAAGTGAAAACTGAAAGTGATAATTCTCGAACATCACCTACTATCCAACTCTGTTAAATCCTTGTGACTAAATAGCATTATCGACAATACTCTCAGGATGCTCAAATATCAATAGGGAATGATCAACTGCCGTCTTTTTAACAGCAAACATAATGAGAAAATTCAAACCTTTGGAGATAAAATTCATGCTTCTTATATAAGCTGGGGGACGTTAGAATTGCAGTGTGATCACTTGAATTCACGTATATGAAACTGAAGTTCCATTTCTAGCCATCAGCAAACTTTAATAAAAAGATTATCTCACTTATACCATATAAACTGCTAGATAATGAATGAACAGAAGAATAATACGAACATACATAATTTAGTGTTTCACATTATTTATATATGTATAGGATATGATAGTTTGACGAAAAAGTAAACAAAAAAGCTTAAGCACAAAAATACATTTTTCTTTAAAAAATGGAATACAATCTAACTAACCTTTTATATTACCAGCTGAATGATTTAAACATATATGATGTGAACGAGAATCACACTTTTGAACAGCAATATCTGAAAAAGATTTTCCAGTTTGATTATTTGCTGAGTCGATGTTATTAATTTTACTGAAATCATTGCCAACTTCCATAATGGGAATTTTATTCTGGCAAAAAAGATCTGATGCTGATTCCGAATGAACTAGCTTGATTCCAGTTTCTACATTCTTATATGTTGTGGATGATACATCATCAGAAATGAGATCTGATGTTGACCGAGTTGTATGAATAGCTAGCATAGATAACAAGTTGTTATATATAGGCTCAATGCTAACAATAAAGTAACATCATTAAAATTTATTTAACATGTCATTAGTTATAACACTATAATGAAGTTTGTTGGTAAATGATTTTAAAAGCTGAAGAAAGCCTGTCGATTGAAATGCATTAAATTAATTACCGATAACATGTTTAGAATCAGGAAATCCAGCTCCTAAAACGTTCATTTTCAACGTGGACACATTATGGATGCTTGTTGCTAAAGTGTTGCTGTATGAAAGCTCATAATGTACCTAGTATCACAAACATCAACAATCATGAAATTAAGATCTAAATTATTTTAAAAACAGTGAAATTTAAAAGAAACTACTCGAAATCTATGTAGCTAAATGGTGAAATGACTTTGAAAGATAAACTTTAATACGTTGAGAATGAAACGTTCTGAAACAAAAAAAACTCACAGGAATAGACCAGACATTAATATGTTATCAGAGAATGAAGTCAATGACTGTTTTTCGGAGTGTTGAACACATTTGGTGCGATGCGATATTTCTGCATAGGCGCTACAATCTAGCTTTCGTATACCGTGTCAAAATTAAGAGCAAGTTAACTGATGAAATCTGTACTCGTAAAATACCATCGATAATCATCAACTGCAATCATATTCCCACATTACACTACACCAATTTTCTTCTCACTGTGTCTCACCAGACTGTTGGTGTAATTTTTGATGAATGATGTATTGCGATACTGTGATTATTTGACCGAGGACATGATGAAAACGTTCAAAATTGTACGAAATTCGCAGTCTTTTCGGACTAGATATGTAAGCTTTTAGAGATTCAGGATGTATGTAGGCTTAATAATCACGATAGTGAAAGTGTATTCACAATTTTGCAATTACTTCGTTAAAAACTAACACTGATTACCTACTTTGTATCCACTCTTGTCATTGACAATGGGAGCCCTAAGTGTTAAACTTTAACAAGTTCTAAATTTTAAGTCTTCTGTTAGTTTTTACAGTTCTAATTACAATGTATATGGTAACTGGACACTTGTTGGGATAATTCGATATTTTTGTTTATGAGTTTAATCTCCAATTTCCCGCTACAATACATCTTGAGTTAGCTGCTATTAACGAGCTTACAAACTACCAATATACTTTATTGGGTTCGTCACTCAGTCGATAAACGCGAACGAGACTTTTACCAGAGTCCAGGTAGGCTACCTTGAATCCCCAAAGCGGGTAAAAAGACTTTGTAAGCGTAGAATGTATATTCTACAAACACCCAGCAATCAAAGTACAATCAAGCATACAACTCTCGTTTATTTATACAACATAGAAACGTCCTTGAGACAGTTAAGAAAATAGCACACTAAAATACACAGCAGCCAATCACAGCCATGGATTTTCCTGGTGGAAATTGAAATCTCAAGGTTAACTGATCAGCCCATGCTGGCAAACGTGAATATCAAAATAAGTTATTTATCAAGCCAGTTTTGGGGATATAAAATCCCCAACAACATTCCGTAATTAGACCTACTAGATGTAGTGCATGTGTGGTGTGTGCTACTTATACGAACGATATAAGTAGTATAAGAATGGACGTGAAAGAAGAAGTCTCACGGTCAGAAGAGGAAAACGGAAAGCAAATAGAGCAAAAGCAAGAAATAAATAGAGCACCGACAGGAAGTAAAGGAAGCAACAGCAGGAATGGAAGAAGGCTGGAGCGTTGGAAGTCAGGACTCAAAGATGGTGCGCAAATAGAGTGTTCAATGTGATGTTTTCCTTTTTAGTTGACTTAGAGTGTAAATTTGCCAAATACAGTCTATCGAGCCTGCCTCAGTCTTCTCACATGTACTGCCAGATAGATATTCCAAGAGCTATTTCATGACTTATTTTACTTGTAAACTGAATTAATTTTGCGTGTCGTCACAAATACCCTTTTCAGAAAATGTGGTTACATAAAACAAAACAAAAACATATTTTGTTTACTTGCTCCACTTTTCGACTCAGTTAGCGCTAAACGTTCGAAAAATTCCGTTTTCTCATAGTTCGCTCGTAAAAGACGCAACCTCGTATCGTGAAGCAGCTCCTCTGTCTTAATTAATTGTTCTCTTGTTTCAGCAAGCTGTGCACGTGTAGACAACCAACCACTTTCCATTTCACTAAGTTGACTTCGCAGGGTTTCCGAATGATGCTTCAAATCCAAATGAATATGACTGGCTGATTTAGCTAAGTTTTCAAGCTCAGTGATTTTTTCAGAACTTCGTTTATTTTCTGATTCTAGCTCCACAATTTGTGACACCAACCTACAAACCTCTTTTTCCTTTAGATTATAAGACGTTTCACTTAATGCAAGCTTCTTCTCTAACTGGTTGTTTGCTGTTTGTAAGGATAGAACCATGTCATTTTTTACTTTTAAGCTTTCTTCAACTTCTAATAAGTGTTCTCTCGTTTTAGAAAGTTGGCAGCGTAGATCAGCTACTTCACTTTTAAATCTATCCGATAGAGCTGAAATTTGTAAAGCTTTTTCTTTTTCGTCGCTTAGCTCATTTTTGATATTTTTCAATATAATTTTCAATTTAGCAGCTTCTTGTAAAGAAACATCCTTAGTCTCTTCAGCCTGCTTCATATTTGATATAAAGTGATCTTTCTCACGACGATGTTCCTCTGACATACTGTTGATAATTGATTTATAATTAGAAGCACAATTTGTCAAACTATCTTTCAGGCAGTTTACCTGAAATATCACAATACAGTATGCACATACTCAATTTCCAGTAAAACCGAATAACAATTACGCAAGTATATTGAAAGAAAACATGGTCAGAAAAAATTTTCAAAACCCAAAAAGAGGTAGTTTTTTATTGCTTTCTTGTGGTAGTCGACAGTAACTGTTAGTCTATATTTGAAAGAATATGCAATACGCTACATCTATACAAAGCTAAATATGTTTCGAATATGGTTCGAATACTACCCAGACTCCTAAATCCAAGCAGGTGATTTTCTAAGCGGGTCACAACCCGAACGTTTAACGAAAAGTCTGATCCATAAAGCAATGGAGCAACGTTAGGAGGTGCAGCCCTATGGTGACGGGGGACCAACAATAGCTTCGTACAACATTTGTTCCTCCATGATCATGGAGCTCAGGTACACCAATAGTTCGGAATCATGATTTTCCGACTCCCCTAGTTGGATGCTTCGTACCCAGCTTAGGCGCTGGACGTTTACTTTTCGTCCTCTCAATTTCGCAGACAATACCACGGCCTCGAGTAGGTAATGAGTAGGACTAACTGGCAATGGTTACATACGCATGGCCATATGAGAGCAATTCAAGAAATACAGCAAACCCTCCACTCTCGACCGTACCAGGGCATTTAGGGGCTACCATTCATAATATTCTCGTGCTGTTAAGAGTTGGCTATTCAAATTTACTTATGAGTACCTTACAGAGACTCCCTAACTTTACAGCAATTTTAGTTTCCATAAACACGCCGTTGTAACAATTCTTCGACTACTTTATTTTGCTTAAATATTCCAAACTTCCTGTTGTAATCAGATTACCTCAACGTTACACTGCTTTTGAAAACGTTCGCTTATATATATATATATACATACTAATTGTATAGTAACGCCTGAGGATTTCCTTTTAGTGGCTATTCTAAAATAAAAACAAACAAAAATACACAGAGAATACATTTCCATATCCGAAATTCATACCTCTTTTTCAGCAGACGCTCTAAACGCTTTACTAGCATTAAATTGATCGTTAAGCTCATTCCGTAAATTATTGTTTGAAATTAATAACTGATTACATTTTTCTTCTACCTCAACGAGTTTTGACGTTAATCTAGATACTTCCATATCAGCCTCCTTCATTTTCTTTAATTCTTGATCAATCCTTACATGGCTGCCTCCAAGATAAGAATGCAGAGATGCAAGCTAAAAATAATCAACACGGAATATAGTTGTAAAAATGATGATCAATTATTCGTAATGGAAATATTATTTCTCACAGTATTCAGAGAGACTGAGAACTATCACTGATTAGTGAAATCCAGGCTAATATCTAAATATAAGCATCTCGACTATCTGTAATCGGTACCGAAAGTAGATCATTACGAATTCCTAACATGCTCCTTCAGTAAACTTCATCTTAACTTCAATGAAAGCTATATGGTTTACATCAACGTTTTACTGAAATCAGGTTAAAAATATTTGAATAGAAAAATAGCTCTTAGTATATGAAAAAATATAAAATTAAGTACAGTTAGGTATATAACCAAAGACAGTTCAAATTCAACACAAACCTTGCTATTCAATTTGCTATTTTCTGTCTCAAGTAAATTTACTTTGTTTTCCCATTCATGAAACGCAATCTCAGATTCTAAACGCATTTTATCCAGTTCAATACTAAGCTGCTTTTTCTGAGCACACAGTTCACGGATTATTTTCATTTTGTCAGTAACTTCCTTATTGACTTGAGCTAACTTAGCTTCTGTATTACGGATCTGTAAGAAAAATATTGAAAAATTTAACAAGTAAAAACAAGCAGATGTATTTTATAAATCGTGATTAGGCAGCCGATTATGAAAATGTATAGAAATGTCAACTGATACACTAATAAGTAGCAAGCAACATTCAGTGTTCTACTTTCCAGTTTATAAGATCGATATTTTTTGACCTGGGAAAAACTGAACAGCAACCACTCAACAATCCATCAAAAGTTAAGCAAACAAATACCACAATAAATCTAAAACAGATTTATATTTGATAATGGATTTGCATACCTTAAAGGATACACAGAATAAGTGAACTGTTCAATGGACAGACCTATTTAACTGTAAAAGCACTAATTTCTCAAACAACCATACAGATCTGATTGGGAGTAGTGGGAAAGCTCTAGTTTATGGAACAGCGTCAGTGACTAAAATAATCTGACGGTGGTCAATTGATTTTTTGATAACAAATGGACACAATGATAGGCTCGTCACTAAGTATGCTTGAGGCTATTACGAGTTTACCTTAGTCGATAAACGCGAACGAGACTTTTACCAGAGTCCAGGTAGGCTACCTTGAATCCCCAAAGCGAGTAAAAAGACTTTGTAAGCGTAGAATGTATATTCTACAAACACCCAGCAATCAAAGTACAATCAAGCATACAACTCTCGTTTATTTATACAACATAGAAACGTCCTTGAGACAGTTAAGGAAATAGCACACTAAAATACACAGCAGCCAATCACAGCCATGGATTTTCCTGGTGGAAATTGAAATCTCAAGGTCAACTGATCAGCCCATGCTGGCAAACGTAAATATCAAAATAAGGCATTATCAAGCGACTTTTGGGGATCTAACATCCCCAGCACTCCTCCACTTTTTAATAGCGTGTTCTCCTGGGGTCGACTTGCATCTTGACTATTGTTCGCCGCTGTCTGACAGGATACCTTCGGGAACGAAGAATAGCTTGCTGCTGAGTTTCTTCTCGAGAGGGGGTCTCGGTATGTTGGAGGTATCAAGCAAGAGGTCAAGGGGAAGGCTTTCTGCTCTTGATGTGCGATCTAGGGCTAGCCGTCTGCGTATCAGATTTCGATGACGTGACCATTTATCACCTCCTATCTCTATTTCGTACATAACTCGACCAACTCTTTTGACCACTCTCGCTCCTACCCAAGGACCATGGTTCGTTCTGTCGTCGCGGGCAAACACAGGGCATCCCACTTCGTAAGCGGATTGTCTTTGCTGCTTTGTCTCTACTGATGAGGGTGCATTAGTCGGATGCATCAGGCTGTGGATTGTTTTCAATCTTCTTCCCATCAGGATTTCTGCTGGGGACTTTTGCTCCGGTAACAATTCATTTGGTGTTGTCCTATAGACGTACAAGAAATTTTGTAACGCATCGGCTGGCATCCCCTCCCCTTTTGACTTGAGCAGTGCTCTTTTAAACGTATCCACAAACCTTTCCGCCTGCCCATTCGATTGCGGGAGGTATGGTGGCGAGCGTAAGTGTTTAATGGCTAGCTGTTGGCGGAAAGTTTGGGATTTTGTGGAGGTAAATTGAGACCGATTGTCAGATACGATCACATCTGGTATGCCATTTCGTGAGAAAATTTCAGTTAGGAGCTGTATAGTCTTAGTTGTAGTGGGCGGCATAACGGGGCTGATTTCTGGCCATTTTGAGAAGGCGTCGACCACAATTAAATACATAGTTCCATTAATTGGACCAGCGAAGTCGACATGTATCCTGGACCAAGGATGCTCAGGTTTTGGCCATGAAACCGGCGGAATTTTGGCGATCATCTTTGCCGCATGCTGACACCGCATGCATTTTTCAACCAACGCTGTGACATGTTGATTCATGTGAGGCCAGTATGCATAACTCCTGGCTATGGACTTCATTCGTTTAATCCCAGTATGACGAAGATGGAACTGTCTCAGCACTTTTGCACGAAGGGATTCTGGCACGACTACTCTTTCACCAAACATCGAACAATCGTTCACGATGCATAGTGACTCCCGCCTCTGATGCAGTTGCTTCATATCACCCTCAAACTTTTTCGACGGCCAACCGTTAGTGGCATATTTCATCGTCATCTTGATGATGGGGTCGTTTCTAGAAGCATTTTGTATGTCTGTTGCAGACACCGGTAATGCGCGAACTGCGGTTGTCAGATAACATTCTGCGTGGTCTTCTACTGACAGAGATGCGATCACCATGTTTTCCTCAGCCGCCACTTGATCATTAATGAGTCGTGACAAAGCGTCTGCTTGACCGAATTGTAGAGTACGTCAATATTGGATTTCGAAATCATACCCCAAAAGTACCAAGGCCCATCGCTGATGACGATTCGCAGAATGGGCTGGAATGCCAGACTTTGAACCAAATATTGCTAACAGAGGCTTGTGATTTGTGAGGAGCGTGAATCTCCGACCGTACAGAAACTTATGGAAACGGCGAACAGCAAACACAAGGGCAAGAGCTTCTTTCTCTATCTGGCTATACTTCTTTTATGCTGGGGTCAGTGTACGGGATGCATGCATAACGGCTTTTTCTGACGCGTCTGGAAACTGGTGTGAAATAACAGCACCTAGGCCATATGCTGAAGCGTTTGCTGCTACGATGATCGGCATGGATGGGTCGTAGTGTGTTAGTAACAATTCCGAACAATTATAGACTTGAGTTTACCAAAAGCCGCACCACACTCTTTAGTCCAGTTTCATGTGCTACTCTTCTGCAGTAGACAATTCTATGGAGCGCGAATATCATGCATCGAAGGAACGAAAGCTGAATAATAACTGATTAATCCGAGAAAAGATCGTAATTCGGAAACATTAGTGGGAGTGGGCATCAGTTTGATAGCTCGGATGTTCTCAGGATCCGGTATGCGACCGTCGGCATCAAAGATGAATCCCAAATACTTTACCGACTGCAATAGAAACTGGCATTTTTCTGGGCGTAACCAGAAACCATTGTCACTGATGCGTTGTAGTACCAACGTCGTGCGTTCCCGTAGCTGTTCTAACGTCTTCGCAACAATCAAGATATCATCGAGATAAGCTGCAACGCCTGAGATATCTGATAGGATAGTATCCATTAGTTGTTGGAAGATAGATGGGGCAGTCTTAACTCCAGAAGGTAGACGGTTATACTGGAACAAACCACGATGGGTATTGATAGTAAGCAGCTCTTTAGATGCTTCATCGACTTCCACTTGCAAATAAGCATCAGCTAGGTCAAGCTTTGCGAAGAACTTTCCCCCATTCAGCATAGTGAACAGATCTTCTGGTACTGGCAGAGGATAATGATGCTGTTCTAGAGCTGCGTTGAGACCTGTATAGAAGTCAGCACATATACGTATCGTGCCGTTGGCCTTCTTGATAACGACTATAGGTGCTGCCCAACTAGAGTAAGAAACGGGAGTAATAACTCCTTGTCGTTGAAGGCGATCCAGCTCTTCATCTACTGTTGCTAATGTTGCGTAAGGTACGGGTCTCTTTGGACGGAAAGCAGGCTTAGCCCCAGGTTTCAACCGAAGTGTTGCTTTCATAGCAGTGCACCGGCCTAATCCAGGTTCAAAAATGGTTGAAAACTCTGTCTTCGTATATGCTTCGGGGTCATGTGGTTGTGATACCAGGTGGCATATGGTATTTAACGGGACATCCGCCAATTTTAGCTGGTCGAACCAATCTAAACCAAGTAAATTTAGATCAGCTGGCGTTACATAACATACCCCAGTAAATGACGAATCTCGGAAAGCAACTTTACATTCCAATTGTCCTAACAGACGAAGATAATTACCACATGCTGTACGAGGCTTCTGTGTTGTGTGCTGCAGGCTTGGGCTACTCAATTTGATCCAATTTTTGCGTGAGAGGATAGAGATATCAGATGCAGTACCTATTTGCAATCTACACAAATGCCCGTTAATAATAAGAAATAAATTTCCTCTCACCTGGTGATGAGCTTTGGCAGGAAGATATTAGGCTCAATGCATTGGTACTGGACCTAGGAACAGGCTTCTTAGCACTTCTGGATTGGTTTGGCTTTTTCTGTAGGCAAAAGCCATCTTTATGACCGATGACTTTACACTTCCTGCATCTATGCTGCCTAAATGGGCTGTTCCGTACATAGTGCTGTGAGCCGCAGTGCCAGCAAGCAGAAGGGGGATTCATTTAGGGTTTTTGGGCAGAATTGGAGCGGGATGAACTGGTTGTAGCATGGGCAGACTTATTATGATTAGATGGCTGCTGTACCAAATGAACTTCAGATCGGCTTGAACTACCACTCTGAACTATAGTTGAGTCTCGTTGTAGGTTAGTGAGACGTTGGTACTCATGAGCCATGTCATTAAGAGTAAGCTTTGGATCTTGCTCCAACCGACATAGTAGCCTTGTTCTAATATCACTGAACTTACTCGATTGGAGGCTGCAGATGAGTATAAGGGCTTTGAACTGATCTTCCGACAAAGACTTCAACTGAAAGCGTTCGCATTCACGGTTGACGATGCCCACATGTCATCGTCATCATCTTCGTTCATAATTAGCTTCAAACATCGATATTGAGTATTAAACAGTGACGAGTTATCGCCAAAGTGTTGGCTTAAAGTCTCAACAGTCTCAGAAAATGAACAATCTCGTGGGTTCAAAGGCAGGATCAAATTGCAGTACTTATCCAGCTCACTTGCGCCCAAGTGAGTAGCAGCCGAACCTTCCAAGCATCATCTTGGTTGACGAAATCAAATTTAAATAAATCTTTATAACGCCAGAACCACATGTCAAAAGAAACTTTTTCATCAGGATCAAAATGAAATTCAGCTATGCTATTTGCGATACCGTCGACCGATGGAGCTGTGGTTGCATTAGATGAGCTGGGGTGTGTAGAAGGGGAAATCTTCATGTCTGTCAATATCTGCATCAGTTTCAGCTGCTGCTCAAGTAATAATTCAAGTTTGGCAAGATCCATATTTCCAAAACCACCGTCGCCACTGATAAATTCGTCACTAAGTATGCTTGAGGCTATTACGAGTTTACCTTAGTCGATAAACGCGAACGAGACTTTTACCAGAGTCCAGGTAGGCTACCTTGAATCCCCAAAGCGAGTAAAAAGACTTTGTAAGCGTTGAATGTATATTCTACAAACACCCAGCAATCACAGTACAATCAAGCATACAACTCTCGTTTATTTATACAACATAGAAACGTCCTTGAGACAGTTAAGGAAATAGCACACTAAAATACACAGCAGCCAATCACAGCCATGGATTTTCCTGGTGGAAATTGAAATCTCAAGGTCAACTGATCAGCCCATGCTGGCAAACGTAAATATCAAAATAAGGCATTATCAAGCGACTTTTGGGGATCTAACATCCCCAACATACAAATAACAAATGACACCAAATATGACATGAATAAAATTCTTATTTTGATAATCCATTAGTAATTTGATAAATTTGTGGTGCCATCTTAATTACAAATGTGATACATAAAAATTTTGTTTTTAATTAGGAACAGCTCGATAAGTTGTTCACTAAATCTGCTTTAGTATCTTATCGTTATTAAATTGTCTGTTTAGCTGTATGTCTAGATCTCATTGAACACCACTACTCACTTCGAATTAATAAACCCAAGGAATTATTGTATCACATTACAACAATGTTTTGTTTCCGGTAATACCAGCGCTGTTTTCGGAGACACTAATCTGTCCACAAGTAGAAATTACAAAAAACTCTTGTGATGTTAATTTCCAAACAAATATGTGACTCAACATGGTAAAGCGTTTTCTATTAAATGACGTTAAAGGTTGAAATGGAAGAAGCACGTTAATTGTAAAGTTATATGGTCATCTTCATTCATAGGAACGATACTAATTAGGAAAATCTTTAGAAATTCCATGACCCAATGGATAGATTAATTTATCACATAAAATGTACACTATAAAATTCATTAACCAATATGACAAAAAAACTCACTTGTTCATTGAGTTTTTCGAATCTAGAATCCATGAGTGATTTGAGATTATCAAGTTCTTTCTTTAAGACCTGTATATATTCGGAAAACATTTCAACATTGTTGAACGTAATTGGCAATCACAATACGAATTACAACTCAGTTCTTATGAAAATTTGAAATGAATTCAAAATTATCATTTATTAAATGTAAGGCGATAGGAATAAAATTTTAGCAGTTCAAACAATCATAAACAGCGAAGATCAACAAATCTCAACGCAACATCCTACGGTATTGTCCCAAGAACAACCAGTTCCTGGGCTAATGAATTATTCTCCATACTTAGACGTTGATAAACAAGGACAAAACTTAAAAATGTGACAGAAAAATTAAATATTGAATAGAAACTAAACCAACTATTACTTATGAATAAATTAATTAAAAGCGAATATATATATACATATATATATATGGCCCAAAGCTAATGACTTTATAGACTGGTGAAAGATTTCGGTCAGATCGCCCGTATTTTTGATCCCAATAATAGTCATCCTGAGCTAATGATTTCACTAAAACTTATGTAATTTGAACGAATAGTTTAACAACAGTCGGGTGGTAGGTTAATGAAAGACATTATTAAAGAGCAAATTTATAAACACCTCAGTGACTGCAAGCAGAATAACTTCAATATATTACTCGACAGTTTGTACCAAGTTTCTTTAGGATAATTATTGAATGTAAATATGTAGTTCACAAGTTAAGTGTATTTTACAATGTTAATTTATGAAGTACAGAGTTTAGATCCAATAATTTTGATGTTTGATTATTTCCACTAGAAGATCGGATTACATTGCCAAGTGAAGTAAGTGTAGGAGTCATTCTAATTTCAATTGCCGAGATGATCATAAACAGAATTATGTTTAAATTTACAATGATGCACAAGAGGACTATCTAAAATATAAACTAGAATTTACTTCCTATAACTTATACGATATTTACATCAAATGCGGCTGAAAATTTTCATTCATCATGCACTGAAATTTCCTAAAGCAATTGTATCTTAACATTTGTGATACAGAAAACAAAGGATATTGAAAATAGTAACAGTAAATTGGAAACAAAGTTATTAAATTATAAGTCAGCCCTACCTCACATGAATATTGATAGGTGTTAATCATATTCCCTCGGAGTTTTGCAAGTGCTTTTCCAAACAATGAATTGAATCGCTGTATGATGTATTTCCTTCTCATGGTTTGGTAATCTGTTCGTGCCTTAACAACAGCTGACTCAAGATTTTGAAGCTGATTATTTACCAACACCACAGAGGCTAAACTTTCGGCAGAATCTGTGTTTGAAACATCTAAAATAGAATCAAAGCGAACTACTCAATGTAGTGCCTATGAAATAAACAGCAGAATGAAGAGAATTCTAGCATTGAAATCCGAAACTCAACGAGTACATAAATAACAACTTGTTAAACAGACTAATAATTTATAAATTCGTAAATAAATGAAATTATTTTTCTAAATCTAATTTTTGTTCGGATAAATACAAATTCATATTACCATTTACTTATCCTATCGGCATGTGTCCCATAAGTTAGTTATAAAGATCAACATTAGAAGTTATATAACGAAATGCAGTGAGATGAAGAGTAGTATAGTGATATGTAAAAATATTATATTAACAGCTACTTGTGAAAGTTAATTTAACCGATGTCAACAAGGCGATGTAGAAATGTCAAGTAATTACTACAATGAAAATTAATAAGTCCTCCGAATATATGCATAACTATTTTGTAACATCAATATGCGGGCTGAAGGTATCTGATCCATCGTTATGCGGCATTATCAAAACATAAGTCTTGCATCACAACAAAAATTTGAAACAATTAGTCACTTTTATAAATGTTGATAGAACAATGAGTAGACGTAACAGTTTTGAAAAATTAGATGTACTTGCGTTACATATACCGAAAAATCTGCTCACACATACTTTTTTGAAACCATGAATCAATCAATGTTAGACCACCATTAGAAACCTGTAAGCACTGGACGGCCGCTTCGTCCTGGTATGGGACTCCTCCTCCATTCATGGTTTAAAAAATGTGTAACTTAACAATCTTCACAACCCCTGTAATGCAAGTCAAACATACTTGTCAAGGCCCTAATAAGAGTTCAAATAGGCATACAGTAATAATTGTAAATGAAGGAGAGAGAAAATTAATGTAATATTGATAGAACAGTGAGAAGACGTAATTGATCTGAAAAATGTGATGTATTTGCGCTATACATTTTGAACAATCTGGTCACACATATTTACTTGTCAAGGCATTTTATATGAAGATGAAAAAAAGGTTATGACAAATTTACCTTGGTAATCTTTAAGCCAATTTTCCTACCCCTTCTTATTCTTTTCATATTACGTTAATTTTCTCTCTCTTTTACTTACAATTATCACACTATGTCTATTTGAACTTTTATTTAATTGACCTTTTATTCATCTTCACATAAAATGCCTTGACAAGTAAATATGTGTGACCACATTGTTCGAAATGTATAGCGCAAATACATCACATTTTTCAGATCAATTACGTCTTCTCACTGTTCTATCAAGATTCTATATTTCCCACGTTCACCCGGTCACCTGACGCTAACTGATCATGGAGCCACTTAGGTACATGTCCCCCAACCCCAGTATGTGTCCACACAAACATGCAAATCGATAAATGCAATGGGATGTGATGTAATCATTGGAGCAATCTCTACGCCTATGTGGAACCGTAGACCAAATTGTTTAAAATGCATAGCGCAAATGCATCACATTTTTCAGAACAACTACGTCTTCTATTTTTATGCTGTTTCTATTGAGTATTGATAATTACAACAAAATTTTTATCCTGTAACAATTATCCTTCTTACTAGTGTCTATTTTCTTGCGGAAGTAATGACTGTAAGGGGAACAAGCGATTTTAGGTGAAAGTTAGAAAATTTTATGTGCATCTAGGTGAAAAGCGGACTATTTGGCGATCATAAGTGTGAATTAATAGACTTTTCGCCTCTTGTGAGGCAGGCGTAATGTCTCATTATTTCCCCCAACTTAGGCGAAAATGGAGACATTTAATTGCATTTTCGCCTGAATTCACACCAAATTTTCTTAGCCAGTGCCGCATGTATTTCTCCAAAGCTAACCTTCATTTTCCAATTTTTGCTTAACTGGCTTAATAAGAATAAACGGTACGTTCCTTCTTGCTATTAGAATCACAAATAGAGTTCACTCAGTTAACAGATACTGTACCCAGTAGACATTATAGAGTTATGGAAATTGTTATTTATTGAAATCATGAATCAGTCATTGTTAGACAAAATGGAGATAGGCTTTATAAAATACCTTACAGTATAAAAATAATGAAAAAAATTCACCTGCATTAGAAAGTTGAAATTCTTTACCAAAGCTTCGGTTAGATGAATGTGGAGACTGGGGACAATTCTCACAAGAATAACACTTGTGATCAAAAACAGAATTTGTTGTTTCAGAAGTAGAAGCTTGGTTACGAATCAAGGAATTCGCTTGTGCTATCCATTCCGCCTCAGATCTGGCCAGAAGCCGTTCACGATGGCACAATAATTCATGGATCTGAAACGAATTTTGATGAATTATTGCATAATGCATAGTAAGAATTTAAAAATACTATCGAATGATCTATGCTAATGGTGCTTATCTTATACAACCTAGTGTATTAACCATGAGGCAAACGAATTCGCACCATTACGGCTGATCACATATGTCTACCACGTGGCAGTTATGAAACATCAAAGGAATCTAGCACAACCTTTTTCACCAATTTTGCGCTGTTAAATTATGTTGACCGCGTCCCACAGGCTTAAAGAATGTTTTAGTGGATTATTAGTTGAGCAACCAGATACGAAGTTTTCAGAAATACGTATATGTCAAGGGTGAATACTATAGCAAAACTGAAACCGCTTTACGTCACCTAATTCGACTAATAAGCACTTATTAACGCAACTTATTAGGTCGATAGCTTCATAAGACTCGCTTTTATTTCATGACCACTCGACTTGATGGTTCAAACCTAGGTCCAACATTTCCGGTTTAGGTATCCGGGTAGTAATTCAATATGCGCATAATGTAGGAGACCGGCAGAACCGTTCAAGTTGCTGCAGAAATAAAATGATACAATTCGGTGGTGCTTGAAATAAGTGAAACACATTCGACACAGGCTAGACAAAAAAGATCAGCTTCATGAGAGATGCTGTTGTGTATTTCAGTCATCAAGAGGTGAATGCCTCACACAAGGAGTTGCACTGATGCTACACAAAATCACTTATAAGATGAGAATCTCGTGAACTCAACATCGTCAATGTAGCCTTCAAGAAAAGGAAGGAGGGGATCACAATGAATGTCATTTAGTGCAATGCGCCCACTAACAATAACAACGAAGACGATAAAGATCAATCTTATCAGAAGCTACGGTCAATCGTCGTGAAATGCATAACAAAGGGTTTGCTCATCCTGATGAGGGACCAGACGCTGAGGTTGGGATGGACAACACTGGATACGAGAACATCATCGGACGACATGCGACTCAAAACAACTGTCTATCAGCCAACACCAGTCATAATTTTCAATACAAACGTCAAAACAGTTCTATTGTATGGAGCGGAAACTTGGAGAACTATAAAAGCCATCATCCAAAAGATGAAGATGTTCACTAACAGATGTTTACGTAAAATACTTTGGATTCGTTGGCCAGATACCATCAGCAACAACCTACTGATTATGAAACTAGGGAAAAGCGCTAGGGGCGGATAGGATACATATTGAGTTAATCACCCAACGGAGTCGCGAGGCAAGCTCTAACTTATAATCCACAGGGTTAAAGGAAAGAGACATACCGAAAAGCACATAGCGCCGAGAATTGGAGACAGACATGTAAAGAATGAATGGCAATTGAAAATAAATAAGAGGAGCTCGGGATTATAGTTAGTTGGAGAAAGATGGTGTCATACAATGGATTGATGATGGATTGAAGATTCGCAAATTAACGGTTACGATACGGTTTTCCTATTTTACTGAGTAACTCTGTAATTTTCGTTAAACACAGTTCGGTTGACCTCACCTGTGTTCTCCTTCACTACACTGGTCGGTGGCCTAAGGTGAATGAGGGATAACAGGTGTAGCTAAGTACACAATTCTAATAAATACTATAACTTTCTAGAACATAATCATAATTGCAACAAGAATCAAACAAATCAAAAATAGGGAAAGGATCGTTTTCCACATGTTATACAAAATTATACCTCACTATCTGCAAGCTGAGCGACAACTTTCATTCGAGTAAGTTGATGTTCAAGTTCTTGTTGAGATGACAAACGCGAACGAATAATTTCTAACTCCTTTTGCTAGAAAAAAAAAACTAAATGCAGTTGTCAAAAATTATGATGAAATAAATACTTCCAACTGTGTGAATACCGAAACTTTGTTTCATATACACTTACAGAGATACATACAATGAGAAAATTTAAATACTTTGTCATATTTAAATTTTTTAAAAAAAATAGAAGGGGATACCTATACCGCCACCTAACATTTTGACAATGTCCACGTGACATCAACTCACAAATATTTGTTGCCACATTAAAACTTGATCGGCACTAAGAAGGACCTAACACACATGACACTGGTCACTACCCGGTGATCAATTGATTTGGAATATCTGTCTGTTTTTTTTCTCACAGACATACTATCGGTATCGTACTCAAGTTCAAAACTAATAAGACCAGTTACTATTTGGATCTGTACTTTGATGTATCGCTTATCACAAGCACTGGACTAAGGAAAAAGTTATCATGGGTCCTTACCATTTCCAGTAAGATCCGTGCTTAGATTTTTTTGATGATGTGGTCTTCTTTTGTCTCTGGAATTCAGTCTGCCTATATATTCCTAATTATCAGACTTAATAAATGCAACGCATCCAATTTCTTTCAGTATGATCAAATGTAATGTATACTCAGGTTAAGCCTTGTGACAACTTGAAATTACTCTCGAATATGATGTAGCGTTCAAAGATGGATTTATATGCCAATCATAAGTTACTATTGGGATTAAATTCATAAAACTTTATTATTAAAATCTTAGAGATCATCATAAAAAGATGATTTCTTTAAATAAACAACCAAATTTATAATGAATATGGTATTATATGTCAATAAACTATCAGTTATCAGACAGTAGTAGTACGCTGAAACCTTCGTAATCTTTATGACATATCCTATTAGTGTTTTTAGATTAGAGCAGTCAACTGAAATCTTGGAAATTGTTGTTGACAGAATTTAAAACCATAACGATGATGGGGCTCCACATGCTGTTATTATGAAACTGTAAATTCGACATAGCTACCCTCCAAATACTGGGGTGATTACACCACAAACTGTAAATTCCAAGGAGATACCTACTTTATAGATATGCATTACTACTAAATGTATAAAGTAGTTTATGGAAATCAAACGAAAACACGGCATATGACTGGAAGTGAATTAAATGGGTCTGCAGTAGTAATTGTTCTTAAAGTTTAACAAATCGGTTAGGTCATGTTGCTGAAAACTATCCCAGAACTTGGGATTTGAATTTATGCTTTTAAAAACAACTGGGTATTCTTAATTGCGCTTATCACTTCGAAACAAGTTAACCTACCTAACTGTTAACTAAATATGATAGCTGCAAAGTTGACAAACTCAATGTCCAAATTTTTAATTTGTTCAAAATTAAGACATTACTGTTCAATAAGGAATGATAAGTATCAACAAAGAGATGGGATTATAATCACAGACTGAGAAATTTACACAATTTACATGTTGACAGGAACATTTTTGGTGTGGTGACTTAAATTTAAATCATGTCCACAAGACAATTCCGATGCAGTGAACTATTACTATCTGGAAAGATGATACACTTTAAACGAATTGCGGAAGAATCAAATGCATGAAGAAAAAACTGACTACATAGCACTTAATTCAAAGTCAGTGTGAAAGAATTAAACGACGTGTACATTAAACATCTTCAAAATCATTAATAATTCAAGAGTGACAAACCTTGGTTTTTAAATTATGGTTTTCTTTAAGAAGCTCCTGATTTTCCTTGTCCAATCGATCAACTATTTTTAATTTTTCCAAAGCATCATTCAGGCTTTCCTGTAGACTGGTTTATATAATAAATTCAAAATCCTTTGTTACTTAACAAGGCTCCAAACATTAACTGTATGAGAACTGTACATACACATAAAATTACTATACTAAAAATAGAGTTAAGAACCTAGGCGTTAGATGGTCTTTCTAGCATAGAAGGAAAACAATTACTGGAGTACTGCATGCACTCACATCTTTCAGCCTTTGAAGAAATAAAGCTTAATATCCAATAGTATTTCCAACCAGTTTCTGCTCGCCTGACCTACTTCAAAGTGATCAAGTGGAAATATATCTAGTGTTTACAATTTAGGTTTGCTTTGAAACCTTATAAAAAGACTTTGATTTAGTAACTGAATTACACTATTGTTTAGAAAGAATCAATACTTTACAGAACCGATTACTTTAAGTTTATAATTCTTTATTACCTATAATCCTAAATGTAGTAAGTTATCTATCACTAGCCGTTTTAGACAGTAAAACAATGACAGAACATAACAAAATGCCGAATCACATCTAATTATAACACATGCATACACTGATTTTCACTGGATAATTTTTATATTATGTACAACCAGTAATCATATTCGAGTAATAAGTTAGTCGTAAATTCTTGGTAATAATGCCTTTATTGTACTGTAATACAACAGAATACCATCATCCTCCAAAAGATTTTGACTAGATTCTTGCTTCCAATTTCCCTACCAATGTTTTGTCGCATTACTTATCGATGATGGAAGACATAATAACAATGACAATCGGTTAATTTAAATAGTATGTCAGGTTACAACTTACTGATCAACAAGATTAGATCGCTGTTCATGAAATGAACGCATCTCGATTTCATAAGCCAATTCATCACGCATTTCATTTAACTCTGATTCACGTCGCTTTAAACGAATCTCTGTTTCTTTTCTTTTCATTTCTGAAGTTTGCAACTCGGAATTCAGACGACTAAGTTCACACATGTTTTCTTCATATAAATGTTGAACTTCAGACAGTTTAGATGACAGGAATCGAATTTCATCTAATTTGGATAAAAACTGACCCTAGATAATATAAATTTAGAGTCAGAAAGTAATAAACTTGATGTGCTACGAAAAAGTGCATATTAATCTAAACAATTTGTCAGTCAGTTAAATACATTGTAGAACTTCGTACAAACGTACATCAGTTCAGGTTGCAACACCCCATCACCACAGAGACGCAACTGTCAGTTCAAATCCCATAGTGGTAGACATAGTAGAAGTATTAGCTGTAATGGAGAACATTAGGGTTCGAATATATGACTCGAGAAGAATAATCCAGCGAGATAACTTTAGGAAGAGCAAGATAGAGATGATGAGGAATTTAGAAGATAATAATTTGAGAGAACACAAAGAATGAATACACCTGCACTATTGCGAACGGTTTCCAGCTATGTCATTCAAAATCTCTAACCACCAATCACTGTAATCTGGCGGACCCCAACCAGGTAGTCTAAACTTATCGAAATGAATCAATCCACTAGTCAGTGACTTCATGGATTTCTGCCATGTTTTGGTTTGGCCACCCGTAGCTTTCTTCCAACCTACTCCTACACCACAAAACATAGCTCGAAGAGGCAGTCGGAGGTACGTTTGAACGTGTGTCGTTGTTCTAGGACCTGAGGTACTGTGAATATATGGTCTATAAATCCACGCCCAGGTCGACAAACAGCCTGGTTTTCCCTCGTCTGCTCTTCTTGATTTTTCGTTAGGTGTCGGAGTATTATTGAGGCCAATATTTTCGATACTATATTAGTTAGACTGATTCCTCTGTGATTGTCACAAAAGGACTTTTGTCCTTTGCTGTAGACTGGGACTGCAATTCTACCTAAGATCTCAGTCAATCTAACTGTCAAAACTAGATCACCATCCCATCGATCCAATCTCCTGGATTGAGAATGAATCATAAGCCCATCCTTTTCTCAGAGAATTTCGCTAACAGATTTATTTTTTATTACCAGTTTCTTTGACTAGGCAGAACAGTTGTCTACAGACGTAAGAACGTGGATTACTCGGGAAAAAATTTGATCAATTTTGTGGTGAACTGGAGCACCTGAACGACTTTAGGCTTTAAGCATTCTTTAACATACATTCTGATACTAAGCCTCAAATAATATTTCCAAATACATTGAAACATCAGCTAAGGTTGGAATACAATACCCACTAAAAAACCACTGCTTTCCCTAAACATATCATAGATTATGCAACTCACTCTATTTCCAGACTGCAGCTGCAACCTTCATGTGGTGGTCGGGCTTGCCTATCATGATGATCCAGTCGAGCATTGTTGGCTGGAACATATGTTTCTGTAGGTGAAACTCAAAGCACCAAGTTAGGGTCTGAGGGCGGGATAGTACTGGTGCTGTAGGCGTGGCAGCAGTGACGTGTTTCCCTCGGACAACAAGCATCTTCAGCGATGCTTCCCTCTCACAAGGGAGGAACAGGAAAGGTCGACCGTAAAAAATTTACACCTCACCATACCTCACTGATTACCGTCTGCTGCGGTAAGGCCTTTTGAAGAGCAAAGCTAACATATTAATTTCCGAAAAAAGGCCATGCGTGGTTGGCCTCGAGCAGTTATCCTTAAGGCTCTATAGTAATGATTCTAGGTCACCAAAATAAACACGAATCTAACTTCCTTTTCATGTTCCTCAGGAAATAATCTTCCACACTGTCGGAAACCGTGAGGTGACATCCACCCTCACACCCGTAAAAAGCGAACCAGTAAAAATTGGTCACAATCATATCCTTCCTAGACATCCTAATACCTCTCTTATCTCCACAACTAACCCTTCTCACATTCTTTTATCAGCCCGCACCGCTAATACAAACGAATCAGGCAGGCGGACCCGGTTTCAACTAAATATTGGAGCTTTAAATCTCCGAACCTCCTGCCAAGTAGAACAAGTTTCCACAGCCAGGAATTTAGGATCTCACGCCAACGATGTATGCTGCGCCTCTGAAACGCTAGTACAGGATTCGAGTAGAATCGCTAACTTGACTTCACCTTGTCCAGATAAAGAAACAACGTGGGTCAGGCTGCGGGTATCTAGAAGCCCTGCTGCTGCTTCCCGCGGTCTATCGAACTGATAGATGCTCACAAACTCATTTCGTCTGGCTCTGAACATGATGAGGAGCGGGATCAGCTTAGGCACAAGCCGATAAAAAGCCTACTCACTGATTGGAAACAGTGGTGATTAGCGAAAGCATGAGAGATGGAAAGGTCAATGGCGACAGGTAACAGTAGACAACTATTCAGACTCATCAAGGAAACCGACTGTAGGTGAGACTATCTCGGAAAAGGATGGGACTTTGATCGATTCTCAATCCAGGAGATTGGATCGATGGTCAGAACACTCTAGGCAGAAGTTCAACTGGCCCCCTGCCACACTTTGGTTACCCACGATCCCCAGTCAATCTGAATGGAAAGTTGATGTGAATCCTCCAACTCTGAATGAGGTTGAGAAGGCTATAGGAAATCTGAAGCGAGGGAAAGCAGCATGCCCTGATAGATTGACCCCTGGGATTTTTCAGAATGAAGGATCAGCGTTAGCAGTGAGATTAACTGAAATCTATAGTAGAATCTAGAAACTGGGTGTGATCTCATCTGACTGGCTCCAATCACTAATTGTCCCAGTCTATAGAAAAGGACAAAAGTCCTCTTGTGGCAATCACAGAGGAATAAGTCTAACTAATATAGTATCGAAAGTATTGGCCTCAATAATACTCCGACGCTTAACAAAAGCTCGTGAAGAGCGGACTAGAGAAAACCAGACCAGATATTCACACTATATCAGATCCTAAAACAAGGACACACGTTCAGACGCCCCACAATAGTAGTATTTCTCGACCTTTAAGCGGCGTTCGACCCCGCTAACCGTGAGGTTTGTGGCAATCTATCATTGAATGGTGAACCAAAGAATTACATTAAACTTATACAAGATGTCTACTCGAAAACCACTGGTAGAGTAAGAGCTTATGGCGAACTGTCATTGAAATTCATTACTTCAAGTGGTTTCCGTCAGCGCTGTTCACTCTCCCAACTTTGTCGTAGATATGCTCCTAGAGTTAACATTATCATCGTCTGACTGTTATGGATTGCACTTTTTACCAGGAAACACGCTTGCTGACTTAGAATATGCTGATAACATAGTTCTATTCGGTGAAGACGCTGAAGAAATGCGGTCTCCTAGCCACCTTTAATCACAATGCAGCCATGTTCGGGTTGCGGTTCTCCTCATCGAAATGCAAATTTTTCCTTCAGGATTGGCTTGTGTCGGCACCTGAACTAGTTATAAAGAGTGAAGTAGTCGAGCGTATTAACCGCCAGTCGAGCCTTCTGTGTCCATGCTGAGATCTCGTGTCACACCAGGTCATCAGCATTGATGAGACTCCCGAGATAATTGAAGCGGTTAATGCGCTAAACGAAATTCATGAGATTTACGTAACCTATGCAGTTTTTAGTCATATCAACCATCAATTTCAAAACACTACTTGAGAATATACATCATGAAATAATCACCGAATCCCGCAGAAAAACATCTGAAACAGATCGACCATTATTTACTAACCTTAGGAATAACTTGTGGTGATTCTAGAATTGATTTTAATGAGTACAGAGGAGAGTCGATTTCCGACTCCAAGTCATTTCCCAACCCAGATTTTGTGATACAACTTTTTCCTTTGTGCACATGAAGAGATTCAAAAAAGCTTTGTGGAGATGAGCATAAGGATTGACCAGTACATCTGCGAGAAAGTTCATTCCCGGAATGTGAATCATCAAAAACAAATTCCGGACCAGTTATAGTTTTTTCTTTGTTCCCAAACGGTAACGTGGGTATCTTCGATATAACAGGACAAGTCAAAGGAGCTGAAAAGACTTAGAAAAGAAAATAACTTACCTTTTGTATTCCTGCTCTGACGGATGGGTGTCACGGGGTGGTTTTCCAAATCTAAGCTTAACGCTTCAAAAGAATTCAGTGAAATAGGGCAATCTTCAATGAGAGGTTGAGTCATTTCAACGATATGATAATGCATTGTGCTAGGAAGCTCAAATGCTGCACTCATAAATAGTTTGGATTTCAGGCGCAGACCCATAGTTAAAACCAGTAGCAAAAACTAAGGAATTACTTATATGGAAGAAACTTACACAATAATGCCTGTAAGTAGATGCGCGGTTATCATCGGCATTTGTTGGAAAAATGGAATTTAAATCAACAGAGAAGAAATCTGAAAGATTATTTGATCAAATTAAATACCTGACAAGATATTGTAAACCGTTTTGGGTATATCTTCAGTGTTGGTAACAGTGTACATACTTGAATCCTTGCTTTATTGTGAAATAAAATGATAAATAATAATAATGATAGTGAGTTAACAAATGAGTACATTATTAATTCATACATTGTTAGCTCGCTTAGAAATAAACATGACAACTACCTTAGAACTAGTAATATTATGTTTGGCGATGAATCCACAGATAAATACTTGATGTTAATGTAACAACTTTTAAAACCACCTTTATGCTTGCTAGCATCTGAGCTACACGACTCGTGAAAAGGGTTCATGCGTTTTTGGCGGGGAAACAGAAGTCACTCTCCAAATCCTACAGGAACTCATCTTAGTTACAAATACTCAAGATTTTTTGTAAGAAATGGAGATCAGGACAGATGCTAACCCCCGTTGATATGAAGTAGAGATTCGTGTCTAGCACACCAACTAGTGAATATTAACAGCAGACATAACGTCGCCTCGGACAAAACAGGTTACAAACATAAAATAAAGACAAACCCCATAACTAACAGCCTTTACCTACCAAACAAACAGGTCGTTATTTCATAAGCAAGCATATCCTAAAAGTAGGACGTAATCACTCCAGAAACCATAACAGCCAACATTAGCACAAACGATATGCAAAGTTGGATGCACAACCCAGCAATTCGTTAGAATTTATCCGCGTAATTACTAAATCAACCACCCACAAAAATAAATAAAGGCTTACTATACTTAGGACTGTAAGCGTCTAGGAACAGTTAGATGAGAATACAGCTAACTTAGAATTCATCTATTTCCAAACTACAGTGATTCAAAGCTCATGTTTTCCGTTTTAAACACTTCCTAAAAGAGAATACTGGGCAAACTTTGTTTCTTATATTAAAATAAGCGAAATCAAACGTTCATAAAATGATATATTAAACTCATACGCCCAATAATGACTAATGTAGGAAATTCGGATACGATGTAGTGAAAATACTTTGTAAGGAATAAAACTTATTTTACTGCTTACCATAAGTCAAGAAGCTGAAGAAGCGTCCGCCACTCCCGGACATCCTTATCACTGTTGGACGGCATTATGTGCTCCACCCATTGTTGCAAACACCGGACTCTATTTATATTTACTTCCATTTTACGTGACATAAGGTAGTGATGTTTGCCTCTGTTGACGGACCTGTATGAATTGATCTGAAGCGAAAACAAAGTCTACAGATTTGGATGTATCAGTCTGAATGGATAACAACTGATCCAACTTCTCGACAAACTACTGTTATTCAAGTTAACCAGGATACACAATACCTAACCGATGGAACAACAAGCACAAAGTTTGGAGTTTAGCGAGATGCGTTTAGCCACAGGGTAACTTGAGTACTAGAGGAGCTTGTACAGTAGCGTGACCAATGAAAACTGGAAAAAAGAATAAAACAGGTGAGCTGACGAAATCCTCATCTAATAAAGGTGACAATAAACGACAACCAATAAAAAATCAATCTTGGACAGAGGATTTAGAAATCAAAACTAGGGGCGGATAACGTACATATCTTATCCGTTACAGCGCATAGCCTGAAAATACCTAGTGTGTTGAGGGACTGTGAGCAGTATGTGAGAGTACAGAAAAAGAAATAATGTCAGCCAATTTAGTAAGCACAAACAATGCACTCACTCTTAGTAAAAAAAGCAATCGAGATATATCAGAGATAACACAAGCATGAGACTAAAGCAAACTGATAACAAAAACTAGGAGTTAGTTGCACACAGTTCCGAACGAATTACAGACAAACAGAGTTGAAAGCCCGCTTACTATTTTACTTGACGTTCTCGACTATTTAAAACAACATTCCTCCGCTGCATAAAGTAGTCAAATGTATTATTAAACCATTGGTTACCACTGAAGGTATGCTTTCCGATAACAGTGATACTATAAATAATCTATTACTTCTGCTGTTAACAAGCACCTAGTGAGAACCACGGTTTTTACAGCCAAAGGACATGTATACTTGTATGTTAAGTGAGATATCACCAAACTCTAGTCAAACTATCATGTTCCAACATCGTTCTTCTTTTTTATACAAGTCGCACAGCAAGGAAAATCATTATAAAATAATGATTCAGCATACTTATAATTTATGGGCAAATCCTGGAATATGTAAAACTGATGGTTCTCAAAGTTCAATTCGCTCATCAGACTTACGCGAAATAATAAGCAGAAGATTGTGGATACATTACTGACTTCACTTTGACAAGCAAAAATACCGTCTGCTAAATAGCAACTTTCATTATTATAACCAATCGTACTTGAGAACGATTTTTATATATTTGTTTATTCGTATTTTTGTTCTTTTCGTATTTTATACTGACATTACGCTAAAGTCATTGTTCCACCCATCTCTCCTAGTCAACATCTCTTTTTCGCTGTTCTGTACCGTCCTTCAACCCTGAAGTGGTATACTTTTAAGAAGATAACACAACTGCCGAAATGGAAACATTTATTATTGTACTTAATTCTGACAATAATTGTTATATTGTACTCCTTTTGTTTAACTGTATTAAAGACTATCTCTTGCATGCCAAGCGTGTCACTCCCATTCCGTTTATCTCCTCGGTTGTTTTTATCCGCTTCTTTCTTCTGGTTTTGATATTATTTCGCTATCACGAGGCCAGCGATAAATATACTTCTTCATCCAGAACAGTCTTCTTTATGACTTCTGGATTTATCAGGATTTACCTTCCTAATCTTGCGAAGGTGTATATGTGGTGTTTGAATGAACTAGTGATTTCTTGTTGTTGTTGAATGCCTGATTTCGAATTCTAAATACATTACATTCGTTCGTGCTCATCTAGTAGCTCTTGATTCACTTACGTTGTTTCTTGGTTTATTAGTTCATCCTATAATTCAAATACTTCTAATTATCATATTGGCGTCGCAATGGAGCTTGTGATAGAACAGTTAGATATCCATTCAACTTCTGAAGCTTTTGAGGATTATTTGGAAAGGTTTGAAATCTGGAGCATGACCAAGAAAGATGTTAAAGATGATGAAATTGTGGCACATTTCCTGACATTCATCGGAAGAGAAGCGTACAGCTTATTAAAAACTTTGGCATATCCAGAAAAACGTATCTCACTTCCTCATGCAACGCTTAAGCAGTTATTTTTATATCATGTAAAGTGCACTAGTTTTGAATGCCTTGAAAGGGCGAAATTTCATAAGATGACTCGTAAAGGTGACCAAAAGGTTAGGGAATTCATTCTTGAATTGCAGAAACAAGCTGTCAAATGTAATTTCGGCGATCAACTTCGTGTGAGACTGAGAAAACGATTAATCGCAGGAATGAACATACCGGGTTTGGAACGAGAGCTGTTAAGAATGTTGAACTGTTCCTTTCAAGATGTTAGAACTGCGTTCATCAACAACGAGGCGTTGAATGAACTTGATACTCAGTCGATGAAGATTTCTAATACTTCGATTAGTTGTCGTGATGAAATATAATCTCAGCCTACAAATTCAGCCTATAAAACTTCAAGTACTGGGTGATCCAGTCTTTCTCAAAAGACGAATAATTCCTGATGGTCTTCGAGATGAAGTGCAAAAGACATAATTGAACCGGTTCAGTCTTCTGTATGGGGTACTCCTATTGTTACGCCACTGAAATCGGATGGCAAGACTCCTAGAATATCAGGTGGCTATAGACTAACATTGAACTCCCGTTTGTTGACGACGGTAGAGGCTGCAGATATCCTAAATCGACTTCATGGTTCTAAAGTGTTCTCGAAAGTTGACCTAAAAGATGCATATCTTCAAATCCCTTTAGATCAATCCTCATCTATTTTGACGACAATTAACACTCCTTTTGGTCTGTTTGATTACAATTTCCTTCCATTTGGGCTAAGTTGTTCTCCAGCCATATTTCAGAAGGTATGAATAAGGTGGTTAATGATCTTGAATGTGTTGAAGTTTATCAAGATGATATCATTGTTCATGGTTCTGATAAGGTAGTTCATGACCAGAGACTTATTGCCTTGTTGCGTCGTTTAATTGAAAAGAATATTACAATAAATCCAAATAAGTGTTCATTTTATGTATCTAGTTTTGAATGTCTTGGATACCTAGTTGATGGTAATGGTTTTAGACCAGATATGAAACGACTAGCTCCACTGACAAATGCACCGTCTCCAAAAAATCTTACGGAACTACTTTCACTAGTGGGTGCTCTTCAATACTATTCCCATTTTATTCCTAATTTTTCTTGTCGTGCAAATTTTTTATTTAATATTTTGACATCCAATTCATTCAAATGAGGTGAGAAACAAGAGTCATGCTTACGTAGTCTACTAAAGTTTCTTCAAAGTGATGCTGTTCTTCGAACTTACTCCCCTAGTGTACAGTCTGTGCTTATCACTGATGCATCACCTGTGGGTATTGGCGCAGTTTTGGGACAGGAAGTTAGACCAGTTATTTGTGTTTCACTCAAACGTACTGTTACTGAACAAGGCTATTCACAGACTTAGCGAGAGGCATTAGCTGTGTTTTGGGCTGTTAAAAGACTTCATAAATATTTATTCGGAAAGAAATTCACTATTGTTGCTGATCATGAGGCTTTACAGTTTATTTATCATCCTGAAAATTCCTTAGCACGTGCCTCAGCTGCTATGGTTCAACGATGGAGTATTGCTTTGAGTGCCTACGACTATACGGTTCAGCACAGGAGTGCAAAACAAATTCAACATGTTGAATACATTTCTCGACAGTCATTACAAGATAAGCCTGTTAATACTTCAGACTGTTTGTTGGTGCAACCTTTACCAGTGAAACGTCCAGATCTCATTAGAGAAACTCGTAAAAACTTTGGATGTATAATTAATGCTATACGGAAACGTTGGAAGGCTAATCTGAAAAGTAGATGATTCCCTATCTATTTTTCGAAGCGGAATGAGCTATCCACTACTCCTGATGGTATTTTGTGTTTAAATAATCGTGTTGTTATTCTTTTTTTCATTGAGTAAATCTTTCCTGGAAGATCTTCATAGTGGACATTTAGATGTTGAGAAAATGAAGTCCTTGGCGAGGCTCACGTGTTGGTGGCCAGAGATAAATGCAGATATTTGTCGTACAGCAAACAATTGCGAAAAGTGTCATAAGCTGAAAAATCAGCATTCGAAGTGGACTCCATGACCAGTATCGTCGGAGGCCTGGCAGAAAATTCATGCAGATTATTGTGGCCCATTTCTTGGCAAATACTATGCACTTGTAGGCATTGATTCTTTTTCAAAGTGGCCTGCAGTTTTTTTCACAACTTCACCAAATACCTTCAATTTTATAGGTTTCTGGAGCAAAAACTCCAAATGATTAGACCAAGACAAACAGAAACCAAGATGGCCGAAAATAATAAATCAAACAAGTTCATAAGTTAAGTAAAACAAATGTACCCAAAAGACAGTGAAATGAATGATATTTATATGAAGGTTTTAATCAGCCAAATGTTCATTTCTCCCGTAACAACCATCCACGTGGATTGTTCTGAAGAATGTCGGAAAATCTATGGTGCGACTTCTAGATATCAATGACTTATGTACACACAATCGACATGTTGGTCAAATACAATTCCAGGAACCAGGTGAGTCTGTTCCAATTTCGGTTGTATATTCTAATACTAATGAGAGCATTCTAGATAATACAGAGTCTTTATCCAATACACTGTCGGACAGACACAGGATGAATTTGAGAGGAAGACGTACAATTGATTACAGACACTTGGATTCCATTTTAAGCTGTGGCGGATGTGGTGTTTGAATGAACTAGTGATTTCTTGTTGTTGTTGAATGCCTGATTTCGAATTCTAAATACATTACATTCGTTCGTGCTCATCTAGTAGCTCTTGATTCACTTACGTTGTTTCTTAGTTTATTAGTTCATCCAATAGTTCAAATACTGCTAATTATCATAGTATATTTATATCAACTGACTATAATTTTTTGTCTTGTTTCGGTATTTCGGTACCACGAAATCGCCAGTAAATGCACCAAATTTATCCGGTCGTTCTTCCTACAAAATATCTGAGATAACGTGTGAGACCCGAATTCAATACTCATATAAACACGTGCATAGTCCCGCGACTCAAACATTATTAGGATCTGGCAATCGATGCATATTAAATGTATAAATTATAAAATTCCGTAGATCAACTAACTTGAGAATGTCCGCACAAGCATTTGGGTTGAATGCATCTGAGCTGTTCAGACAGTGCTGTTAACATGGCTGTTTTAGATTTTAATAAGCCAATCAACCATTTATACTGGCCATATGCTCGAACCCATCATTCTAAAACAGCTATAGATAATATTGATTATAATCCGCCAGTTGGGGATCACAAAGCAATTATATCATAAGTATTCTTTTTGGTTTGTCGCTAAATTCAAATCATTTTCATGCTAAAGGACAGCACAGGAATTTCGGAATTATGCTTGTATATCCACAAACCTAGCCTACAACCTGTAGTCATTCGCTTACATTTACAAGAGAAAGCCGCCGCAAATTTCTTCTCAACACCTTTTTTCCATTAGTAGCATCACTGCAATTATTAGAACATCTTCATATATTTTGAACTCGTCGAACAACTCTACCGGCAACGAGCATCGAGTAGTGACTTTAGAATCCACTTTGAAAGCTTTGTTTTGGGAAAACCCCCCATGTACATATTTGTAATGTGTTCTTACTGACTCTTTCTGTGCTACATGTTGGTTTTCTGTTTAATCCCATTTTGTGATGTTAATATTTGTATTCTGTTATAGC